ACAATCAATTAATTTTTAAACATACCTCTTGTTTCTACCCGATTTTGATTTAAACCTTTAAAAATATGGTCTATCAGTTGAGCCACAATCCACTCTACATCTTCACTCAAGTTTAGATTAAAAAACAGGTCTTCCAAGCGTGGCGAATCAGGAAGGCCATCAAATATTACAAACAAAATTTGAACTCAAAGCTCTGAAGATTAAAGGGTTCTTATACCTAATAAGTAATTACCTATAATTTACCACCCCTTTTCTAAACTTGTTTTTTTCCTTTACATAAAAATAAGTGATTCCAATGTTTTATATTGGAAATTAACAATGTCATAATTGTATTTGTTATGTCTATTTAATCACTGAGACGATGAAATTTGAAGGGAAAAAAACTGCGGTGTGTGCTTTAGACCCCACGATAGAAGTGAATATATCAACAAGGGGAGATTAATGATATGAAATATAAATAATAGCTCATTATAAAAAGGATGGAATACTGAACATTTTCCTCGCTTACAGTATTCAGATCCAATTTTTAGTTTGTGAAAAAATTTAATCCATATCTTTCATAAAACTCGTTATCATTTGGTTTTCAACATAATTGTTTTCGCCTCTATAACACAACGTCGCTCTGAGATACAATTTTAAATAATAGCTCATTACAAAAAGGATGGGGTATAATGAACATTTCCCTCCCTAACAATATGGAGGTCCAACTTTTAGGTTTTATTTTATTTTAACCTTTATGTAAAAACACTTCAATTAGTCGACTTTACCCGAGCATTACACATCAGAAATCTGACGGTTCAATTTAATTCACTCGCCACAAAAAAATTCAAAAGTACCTAAAGAAGTTTTCATTTCTAAATCATAATTTTATCACTGGTTTCGTCTACAATATATAATATAAATTTTAGTGGTTTTAACATTAATATTATTAACCTGTGATATTTTATTTAAGATAGGTAACAATTTGGCTGATCTGTATTGGTAAGGGAGACCGAGATCTTATTGTGGATTGATTTTCCATCAATCCCCAGTGTTCTTAATGCCATAAGATGAATTTATAGGCATATGAATTAAAAAAAAGAATTCGTAAATACTTGTTTGGATGAATCAAAATCCTTTTTATTTGTAGCTATTCTCTTTAGAGTTGTCGATAATTTTAACAAGTTACACGAGTGACCTCGTATCAAAGATGGACATCTATCATTTTCAGATAGTAGAGAAAAAGTCAATTTTTGTTTTATAGGTTCAATTGAAACTATTTCTAAGGATTATGTTTAAGAATGTTCAAGTTGAATCATGAAAAAACTTCATTAGAATTGGTTTAAATTGAACCTATGTTATAACAATTGGCTTTTACTCAACTTTTTAAAAATGATAGATGCCTGTCTTTTATATGAAGCCACTCTTGTTTAGTTTAAAAAAACTTTATTGGTATTTGGTAAAAATATGTATGTGTTTATCTCAATTACTGGAAGTCGTACTGATTTTTATTTTAGTTATTTCTTCCATATATGCATACATGTGCATTATGCTTCTTCAGGGTTCTTTATGTATCTATTAAGTCATTAAAAAATAATGAAGGTTTAACTATAACTTTATGTAATAAAAACAATCAGAATGTTTTCCCTAATTATTTATAAGTTTAAATTAACTATCTTGCCCTTTCATTAAAATATAATAATTGCATTGTTTACTACTTTGACATTTCCAAGTATTACAGTTAGTTGACAATGATTTATTTAAAAGAAAAGTTAAGAAATGATTCAGCTCTTCAGGTTTATCAGAATCCATTGTTTTGATGAGAAATGAAAATTCTTTCTGCTTCAGAGTCTGGCCCCTTCCTTTTCTGTTTCATTTTAATTTATCTTGTCTTAAGGAGATTTCAATTTATCTGTGTTCCTAATAGTAGATCCGAAGGAGATATTTTTTATACCTTGGAGTGATTTTGCCAATATATTGATTCAAGATAAATATATTATTCTCTGGTGCGTATATTTATTTATAAATGTTACTCAGTAATTAATTAGGTGTCTTCAGGTCATAAAGTCTATATTTTCTGAAATAGGAAAAGCCGATATTCAATTATAATTATAATTCAATTAAAGCCTGCCTCAGTTAACCTTTCTTTGTAGAAACTACCCTTATTCGGCTGGTTAACTGTTCCCCTGTCTGTTAGAGACGCATGGCTTTATATTGGGTTGTCCAGAAAATAAAGCAGGATTTTGGTTTAAATAGAAAGAAAAAAAAAATTTACAACTGTTTTATTTAATCAAAATAGTCTCCACCACTATCAATATATTTCTGCCGTTTTGGCAACTTTTCCGTTTCCTCGGACTAGAATTTCCCATCTTTAGAGTTGATAAACTCCAAAAACATATTTTTTAATTATCTTTGTCCATTAAATTTTTTGTCACGTAAGAAGTGCTCCAGGTGTCTAAAAAAAATTATAATCTGTAGGAGAAAGGTCCAGAGAGTGGGGCGGATGTGGCTGAGTTTCATATAAAAGCTCTAACAGTTTTTGTGATATCACACGTGACCGCGCGTTGTTATGGAACAAAATGGGCCCCTTCTGATTGACCATAGATGGCTTCATTACTGCCAATTTTTCATGGTTATCGTCAATCGCATTAATTTGGTTACAATACGATTCAGCATTGATGGTTTCTCCAGGATTTAAGAAACTGTAGTGTATCAAACTGAATGAAGCTCACCAAACAGTAACCCATCACCTTCTTTTAATGATTTGGGGGTTTTGGAAAATGTTCTGCTGCTTCTCTTACCAAAAAAATGGCATCAAGGCTTGGCAAGGCCACTGTCTGGAACGTCTACTGTTCTTTTTTTTTTTTTAGCAGTCGTTTAATGTGGGTGGTAACAGACGGTCGATTTGCATAGGTTAAGTTCTTGAACAGTTGTTCTACAGTTTTCTTCCACCAATGCCCTCAAAACATTGTCAAGAGAGGAAGTCCTTCCATGACCTTCTTTGTCTTCATGGCTGAAGTCTCCCTCCCGAATATTTTTTAACTACCTTTGAACAGTGTATTCGTTAATCCTGCTCTCATACTTGATTGATTCTGGCCGTCTGGGTCGCATTCTGACCGTGTTTAAACTAGTAAAACAAAATTGTATGAAAATTATCTTATTAAAGACTGAATTATTTCTAAGCAGCGAAATGCTATAGAGGTAAACAATCATTTGGATTGTTTCATTGGATTGTTTCATTTGGATTGTCGATTTGCATAGGTTAAGTTCTTGAACAGTTGTTCTACAGTTTTCTTCCACCAATGCCCTCAAAACATTGTCAAGAGAGGAAGTCCTTCCATGACCTTCTTTATCTTCATGGCTGAAGTCTCCCTCCCGAATATTTTTTAACTACCTTTGAACAGTGTATTCGTTAATCCTGCTCTCATACTTGATTGATTCTGGCCGTCTGGGTCGCATTCTGACCGTGTTTAAACTAGTAAAACAAAATTGTATGAAAATCATCTTATTAAAGACTGAATTATTTCTAAGCAGCGAAATGCTATAGAGGTAAACAATCATTTGGAAAAGAATTAATAAGTGTTGACATTCATACAAATGAATAATCCAGTAAACGTAAACAGTTTGTTATACAGAGGGATATTTTAAAGAAAACTCAAAATCCTGTCTTATTTTGCAGACAACCCAATAGTTCAGATTTTTCCATTTATATCGTAAGTACTGTATGTCACTTTTTAAACTATATCTTCATTTTAACACCCAAGTAACTTTCTTATTTATTTATTTTTTTTTTTTTCAACAAATCTTAAGCTTACCTTGTTTCAACTTTGTTTCGCATCTATTCTTGTTTGCTACTTCTTTTTGTAACTAAGGGATCCTATTAATCTATCTTCTTTTTGTTTGGTCTCAAACATCAATTTTCATTTACTATCATTTATGTGGTAGTGTGAAAGATTTCTAGTGTTTTGTGTTTCAAAACACGGGAAGAATGATTTTCATTTTAATCAACCTTATTTGTCTCAATGCTTAAAGATTTTGAAAGTATCTTTATGGGCACAATTCTTCTGCATTGGATATGATTTATTTTCTTCTTTCCCTTCTGTGTTCTGAATTTGTATCTTTGCTGTATGAAGAAGACACATTGTGGTATATAAATTGGATTTAAATTTTTGATCATGCCACTTTGAATGAAAAAGCCTCCTTATGCTTCACTATTTCCATTGGTTATTTATTAAAAGCTTACTTGTTTCCTTTAAATGGTAAGATTATTTTTTTCAAAACATAATTAAAAGAAGTTTTTCTTTTTATAAAACTAGTCATGTGTTACTATCTGGTTGTGTCACATGAAATTTGGTTATTATTCAAATATAATGAATTTATATTTATTCAATTTAATTTAATTATTTATTTATCTAATAAATATTATAATATTTAATTTATTGTTTATTATTCAATTTAATAATTCAGATTTGCTTCTCAACTTCTATAACATTCTTTCGATAAACAAGTTTATAAATTCATGTTTGACAACATATTTGTTATCTCATTCTACCATTCTAACTAATTCTTCATGTGATACTATCAGAAATTACAAATTACTTTAGATTTATTGAAATTTTTTTATTTATCTTTTCTTAACTCATCAACTTAAGTAGTTAATGGTGTTTCTCAAAAGAAAGAAAATATTTCCTAGTCACTCAAATTATTTACAAAATCTATTACTAAATTATAATTCAATTTAATGGCAATTAACTTTAATATCTGTTTTAATGTACGAGGGAAGTAATTTCTCATTTTATATCCGTTCTAGCTCACTAATTGAGTATTACTGTTTATTATTTATATTTTATTCTTATTTTAATTAATTGATATCAATTGTCGATTCATTCATATAAAATACACTATACAATTTTATTAAAATGTTGAGTTTCCTTCAATATATTCTATTTTAATGATGGTATTTTTATATATATATATTTATATTTAGAATCACGTATATACATTATTTTTTATTTGTTCAGGGAATGCACTAGAAGTGGATTTTGTAACTTCATGCATCTGAAACCCATTTCAAGAGAATTACGAAGATATTTATACAGCAGAAGAAGGAAAGGTGGTGGTGGTGGTGGCGGCGGCGGCGGTGGTGGTGGCGGAGGCGGAGGTGGAGGTGGAAGAAGGTTTGTATTAACTTACCTTTTCGTCATTATTTTCTAATGTTATATTATAATTATTATTACTTCATTAATATTATGATCGCTAGTATAAAAATAATAAAAATCTTATAGCCTTGTAGGTGACTTACAAGGAGGCTCAGCCTTAAAGACACGACCTGTCTTAGCGATCCAGTTATGCAGTTGCATATATTGCAGATAGTTAACATACATATATTCTTCAATCAAAGGCACATACAGTGCAATCTTCGAGGGTGATACATATTAACAGATTGCATAATATAGGCACAGATCGTGTTCTGTGCGTCAGCCTTAACCGTCCAGCACTCGTGCTACTTTTTCGAACATTTATACTTCCATGAGACCTTTAGTGAGGTAACAAAACATTCCCGTGGTCTCTGGGTCTTCCAAGTGAACTTATAATGCCTGGCAATTATCAAATAGTTCATTAAATGTCAATGATAGGTTAGAGTCTCGCAATCTCTGAGTGGAGTTTTCAAGTCAGTATGTGACTGAATAAAAATAAAATCGGATTGGGTTTGACCTACCCATAATTGACCCAGTACTGATTGGACTGGATAATTCCATTTATCAGTATTATTGAACTAAAAACAGGAAATGTGTTAGTGTTAAGGAAAAAACAATTTTTTAGCATGGTTGTTGGGGCCAGGGGTACTTCAAAATCGAAGTGCAGATCTTTCCCCGGTGCGTTTCCTCAATGGTGGGAAAATACGAGAAAAATTAAAAAACGTTGGGAAAGAAGGAGAAAAAAAAATAGTGAATAATGAGACCTATAAAACATAAGAGAAAAAAACAAATACATGCACAAGAAAATATTTTTAAAAAATAGAGATATTTCAATAAATAAAAAAATGGAAAATAAAAAAAAAATCCCCTTTTGAATGTTTACAATTTATTGAGAAAGAAAAAGAGATATAAATTTATATAAAAGTTGAGATAAACAATACTTAAAAGCTACGAGAAAAATAAAACATAAATACAACATCCACAGAAAATAAAAGAAATTAACAATTATCAATAAAGGAAAGAAATCAATTTCTTAAATTGTAAATAAAACAAGAGAATTGTCCAAAAGAATAAAACAAATTTAGGGAAGAAAACAGTTAACTAAATGTTCAAATGTCTTGGTGAGAATAAAAAACACAACAAGCCAAGTTGGAGGTTCTGCCTCCAACCTGTTACCTTCCGATTTCCAGCTGTCGAGTAATCGATGGTGGGGTTGTATCGATTACTCAGCTGCGCCCAACAGCTGATCCTCGAAAATGGCGCTAGGTGAGATGTTGCGAGATTAGACGGCCTGGAGTTTGGTGAGATTGGTGGGGGTAGATTTCTACTACATGGGTCTAATGTCGACAAGAGCTATCTCCAGATTCCCCGGCTGTATTTTGAAGTCTTAATCCTTAAGACAGGGTATTACTGCCGGGCTGGTGTGTATATACCACGCGATAATACATCGCAAACGAAGCCAAATATAAACTATAATATAAACTTAAATACATTTTAGGAACAATTGTCCCTCAAACTTTCACAAAAAAAAAAAAAAATTAACATTTTATTGTTAACATTGAAAAGAGGTAAATGTGAGAGAAAATAATAATGAAAAAATTAAGAAATAAGTCTATGCGGCGTTAACATGATAAAATATGAATCTTAGTAAGCGCACCAGTGATGGACATAGCTAAAGAAATTTTTGGCCCATACTGCCGTAATTATCATACTTATAAACTTCTCTGTTGAACATTTATTATCTCTAGGGTATCCTTTTTATATTTAACACTTCAAAATTTATAAAATATTCAGTTCTGCAAGTATAATCACCATTTTAGAAAAAACCCTTTTTGCACTATTGATAGACAATTGGAAATCCAATTGTTCTAGTAATGGACAGGGGTTCGGTACCAGTGATGGACATACCTCAGAATTCTAAAATTAGTTATTTTTATTTATTGAACTGTAAAGACAAGATAACATAAATGTTAAACTTACTCTTAGCAAAATTGTTAATATGAAGGTAAGAAACTCACTGATCTCAAGAACACTACAAAAAACAATTCCATAGTCATTCTAAAATTTTCTTTTGGAAATTTTGTTCATACAGTTGTCAATAGAGGGCATTGTTCATTAATCTAGAAAAAAAATTGGAACCTTTAAATCAACAAGATAGCTTATTGTTTACATTTAAAGTCCTTAACTGGTAGGTTCACCCTAATACTAACTTAATTAAGATGCATTTTTTTTTTTTTTTTTTTTCCTATTCTCTTTAACTTTTTTTATCTGTTAACTTTAAAACTTCCAGATCCACTTAATCTTTCTATTTGACATGTGATTTTTTTTTATTTTATTTTTTTGTTTAGTAATATAAACCATAAACTAGGGGGTTTAGTGTTTGGGGATATAGATATTTTGAAATAATAATTGTCATTGATTTATCTGCTTGCTCTTTTTTAAAAGTTACTTTTACTTTTGAAGCATTTTACTATTAAAAAGTCTTCTAATGATTGTTTATCAAATTTACTTTTAGAAATCGTACCTCCATATTATATAATGTTCAATCCTATAAATTTATATAGAAGTAAATATTTTTATTTCTGAGAACTTTTCAATTATTGTATTAAAGAATAGTTGTAATTATCTATACAAGTAATTAATTCTACCTAACCTTTTACTTTAGATCAAGAAGTCGCAGTCCTAGAAGATCGAGATCACCTAGACGAAGGGACAAGAGAAGATCTAGATATTAAGGCTTCTGTAATTTATAAGTTTTTATTTACAATTTACTATGATGTATATATTTTCATTTTGGTTGTTTCCAAATCTATCCTTAGTAATTAAAATGTTTGTTTGTATATTGTTCAGTTTTTCTTTTCTTTAAGTATTTATTAAGCAGGTTGTTATAATTAAAAAACATTTGCTGTAAAAACTTTCCTTGCCCCACTTGTAATTCTTCTTCTTGTAATGATGATTTTTAATGGGTTTTATTTTTTTTTTTAAACAAGTTCAACATAATCTGTGCTCAGTAACAATTTACTGAAAATATTAATAGTGATCTACTGAGAGGTAGATACCAATTTATGATTATAAAATATTTATTGATTAATTACAATTATCAACAATCACCAATTCAGTTGTGAAACATAATTCCATTTATATTATTAAAAAATAAATTTATTTGTTTTATTCCATTCATATTAATGTATTTTTTTAACCCTATAGTCCATGGTGCAGACCCCTTTTTTTCAAATTATTAACCATCTACCTTAAGGTACTATTTCGCTGGCGCTGCCCACGACTGAGACTGCTTGCGGTTGACCACTGCTTTAGTTGAATAGAAAGGAACCTATTTCGCTGGCACTGCTCGGCAGTCTAGGTATGACGTCATATCTAAGCTGCTCCTATCTGACCACTCCTGAAGCAGTGGAGCTGTTGGCGGTTCGGGGGTTGTAGGTTATGTTATCATATCAGTGCATTGTTTTGATGATAACAGTCATGGTGATACGTTTTATTTCCTATGTTTCTTTCAAGTCTGGAAAAATGATAAGAAATATTGTTTTAAATTTAAACAATGTAATGGTAAATTATGTTTTTAAGGTTGAAGTAACAAGATCATTTATTTATTTATTCCACCAACAATATTTTACAGCGATAACACAAATATACCTAAATCCAATCGATATTAAATAAATTGAAGAATCCAACAAATTTTAAAGTAAGGTAAATACTTAAATCCAACCATTGAAAAATCTATTTGTATTTTTTAATTAAAGTGGTGATTTACTGATTACTATTGATAAAACATCACCTGCTGTGATTTAATAACAAATAAATGATATTTATTACTAATCAATTCTGTGATAATTACTATTACTTTTCAAAATAATAATATCAGAGGGACTATTGTTAGTACAGCGTTTCCCGACTTTTTGTTCTTTTTTGGTTGTTCATCTAGACAATAGCAAACTATGTCTAAGAGGGGATTTGATGATGAGCATCTCATTGAAATACTGATATTCCTTCTCCTATGAAGAACATTTCCTCTTCTTCCTCCTTAAATAAAAAATCGATCTTCGAAGATAAAGTGAAATGTTCGAAGGTTATAACAACCCCAGTGAGCAGTTTAAGCGAAATAGCTACGCAACAACGGTTGGCAATGTGGAATTGCTGTCGCTGGCATCGGCTGCGTCAGCGAAATAGTTGGAACTTCATAAATAACTTTATCTCATTGCAACCTACAAATATTTTACTTACAAAAATTCTTAGATTAGGGCATTTTCAATCTGGGGGTCCGCAAAGTTAATTAGTAATTAAAAACTCATGAATACACATTTGCTTTCCACTTGAAACGTAAGATAATATAATCACAAACTCAAAGAGAAAGATAAACAAAAAAAAGTGGACTATACAACCTCGCTATTTTGGGGGTGGATGTCCCTTTTTTTATTTACTTTGTCATATTATCTTTTGAATTTTTGTAAATAAAATATTTTTAGATTATAATGAGATAAAGCTATTTACAAAGTTTTAGGCAGATGTTAATAAATGATAATAAATAAAATGCATGTTATGTTAATGTAATGCATATGTTAATAAATAAAATGCATGCCTAAACGACAGATAGGTAAATATTATCTTTAATTTTTCTATTTATCCTCTACTTGGGTATCCCGGCAAGGGGTGCACATCCTCCCCAAGATAGATGGCATATGAACTTCTCCCACCCCTCCCAAGAAATGTTACTAATCTCCTCTTCTTGAAAACTTTTAAAGCGAAAGTCAAATTATTAAAATCGTGGATCATATACAATTACACTTCCAGTGGTCTGTTCCATGTTCTTTTTCTTGTTTGACAGTTTTTACTCAGAAAATTAATAACCCAGTCAAAATGTTTCCCCCTCCAAAATTTAAAACACCATCATAATGTGGTGCCCCTCTCAAAAATATTGATGGCGCAACTCGTGCCTTGAAACCCCTTTCTGGGCACCCTTGTTACTGTCATACGGATTGTGGAAATGTTATCCTACAGGCAACCAACATACTCTAACTAGAATAGGAATGGCAAGAAGATTCATTCCATGGCTATACCATTAAATTAATTTCAATCCTTCCTCCCCTCTAGAAGACATTCAAACCATAGCTGTAAATTTCATTCCATTTTTGAAAGACAGTTAAGGTTATAATCTTCCTTTCCATGTATTCACTCACAGCCATTATATTCTTGACTATTGGGTACATTAATTTTAAATTATTAAATTACTATGATAATAGACTATATTTAATTATCTTTTATTTATTCTGGGATGAGTCTCTTTAGAATAATAATGTGAGGAGGTTTTTGAGCATTAGAGATATATAAATGTATTTACAAAATAAACTAATAGATATAATAGAAAAAAAATGTATATTTTAGCTTAAGTCGATTAAGAAAAAATGAAAGAAACATTAAATGAAAATAATTGAAAAAACTAATAATATTTATATATATTTACAGAAATTTCTATTTACAATTTTATTGAGACTGGATGGAAGAGAAGTGATTGAATAGACGAGATTTAAAAGTAGGGAGAGTATTGAAGCGGCGGATGTAGGGGAGGGATGCAGTTTCATAGGGATAAGGATCGAATAATGAAAGATCTATTGAAAACAGCAGTTCGGTGGGCCATTATATATAAATCTGAAGATTGGAAACGGATATTTCGGGAGTGAACATAGAATTTAAGCTGGGAGATATCTGAGCAGCAGCATGAGTGAATGACTTGGAACAGGAAGGATGCCAGAAAATAATACTTACAATGGCAGGAAGGATAAAGCCGCTTCAACTCTTCATAAAAACAAGAAACAAAGACGTTTCTTGGGATCCTGATGATGAATCATAAAATACAATTTATCAAACGTTTTATTTTCACCTCGAGATCCCCATAGACGCCTCCATATACCATAGAGCAATAGTCAAAGTGGGGAAATATTAAGGAAGTGACCAGGAGTCTATGGGTTTCAAAAGGAAAATGGTGGCAGAGGCTATTTAGACGTTTTAAGGTAGAAAAGATACAGCAGGAGATATTGGATATATGGTTTTTCCAGGAAAGGGTTTGATCAAAGATTATTCCAAGGTTTTTGATGGTGGGATAGAATTTTATGGGATTATCTTGTAGGAACAGAGTTGGAATGTTAGGAACAGTTTTGAGGAGGTCATTGAAACCTATCAGTATTCCCAGTCACATATACTATTTAAGTCTTCTTGAAGCTTGGTATAGCTGGTAATAGGTCCGAATGCGGGAAGGACAGGTATATTTGCGAGTGGTCTGTATAGGTATGGTATTGGATAGTGATGGATCAGGAGAGGAAGGTCGTTGATGTAAATGGCAGAGCGTTATTAGAACTATTAGAATATAAGAACCCACAACCTTTTTTTTTTTAAATATTGGCAGATCAAAGAAAATACATTAAGACTTCTATAAGCAAAACTATTTTCGTTAAGTAATGAAAATAATTTGAAAAAATTAATATATACTGAATCATTTATGCAAATGCACAACTACCATCAAATTTTGGGCCAAATCGAAAGTTTGGTTTAAAGATGGGGTATCAAGGGAAATACTTTCTCTAAAAATTGGATTAACAGTAGTCGGTATTAAACCTGTCAAAAGGATTTGACTACAAACATAAATCAAATTCCTTCTTTATGTCTATAACATGGAAATTTTCATAACTATTTTTTGCCTTGTATAAATACAAAGGTTTCCTACCTTCTAAAATAAGGGACACATATTTAAGTTTTAAATTTTAATTCCATATATTGACAAACATTACACAATAACATTTTGAGTTATTCCTAGTTTATCTGACTTCTCATATTTTATATTGCATACTGTATACTATATTATATTTCAGTGATCTAATTATTATTATTGCGTACTAAATGGTCGAATAAACTCAGAAAAAACATCCTGTCTGAAACATGGGTTTGAAGAGAAAAAGCAGTATTTTGCATTCTTTGGTATAATATAAAGACAGTCTTGTCAAAATCAGATATAATTCACTCATTCCACGGCTCTATGGTCCTTCAAGAATGGTTTGGGCCTCCTTTATAATGATGTAACAATGTTTCGTCACTCCACTCGGTTTGGCCTGTCTCCTCCATCTTATTACTCCTATAGCTGTTTCATGCCTTTGTACTATCTTTTCCTCCAATATCATTTTTGGGAGTCGACCCTCGGGCATTCTTTTTATATGTCCTGCCCACCTTAATTGACACTTAAATAAATGTCAGATGTTCAAAAATACCCAAAAGGCTGGTATTAATATCATTGTTAACATTGTGTATGCATATTTGGGACATCGTATTGTATATAGAGCTTTAAAAAGAATAGACAACAATGGGTCTCCTGGTCTTAAACCATCTTGAACTACGAACTGATCAGAGAGTACCGCTTGTATTTTGACATTGCAGCTAGTATTCGCGTTATTCTTACTGATCTAATAAGTTCCCTGGGGATTCTCGATCTTTCCATAGCTTTCATAAGCTCTTCCTTGTAGATATTACTATTACTATTACTACATTACTAGTCGACATAATAATGTTTTCTTTACTTATTTCTCTTTCTTTTAGTGTTTGTTTTTATTTGGGACAGATGTAATATTTTAATTTTGTACTTTTTGTTATTCTAAAGTGACTTTGTCCAAGAATAAAATTATTTTCTATTCTATAAGACATTATCATAAGCTTGTTTAAAGTTCAGAAAGAAGTGGTGCAGATTAAAATGAAATTCAAAGCTCTTTTTGAGAGTTTGGCTAAGGGTAAATATATGTTTCACCATAGAGTGATCTTCTCCACTAATGGATCCAGTTTTTAGGTTTTGGGGGAGGCTTCAGCCCGAATGATTTTTTTTAAAAACATAGTGATAATTACGTAGGAAGAAAAAGAAGGTAACTAACTACCTATATGAAATAGAGTTTAAGTGATTCTTTAAGTACTAATAAATGTAATTACACGAACAATAAGACTTGGAGGTAATTATTAAATATTTTTTTCATAAGACATGGTTATATTTTACCATTTTGGGGGAGCTGAAGCTCCAAAGCCTCTTCCTTCCCCCCCCCCCCATAAATCCGCCAGTGATCTTCTCTGAAACTCCAAACTGATATTCTCCAATATCCTTTCCCTGACCAGTTATTGAGCTTTTGGTTTAGAAGTATGGCAAATATTTTAATAACAATTAATCTCTACATATCGTCAGCACCATGTTAAATGTTTAACATGGTGCCGACAATATGGCTCAAAATCAGTTTTGTACTCAATATAAGCTTCTATCAAGCTCAAATGTAATGAATAGTGTACCATTGGATTCAGAATTTCATGGGAAGGGAGCGAATCATACTACCCGCTTGTTTTTCTTTCGAAAATAAATAAAGTTAATATAAACATTTTGTTTGGCTTCAATACTAAAATGGTGGATTAATAGGAGACAAATTGGGATTTGCAGATTTTGATGCAGACACCTTTTTTTGTAACTACATTAGCTCTGAGAAGGAGTTAATTGGGGTGAGGTCAAATAAATACTAAGTTAAAATATAGTATTTATTTAATTTCTGCCGACGTTTCGACCCACTTTGCATTAGCTCTGATTTTTCAAACCCAAAAATGTACTAAATTACCTAGAAAACGAAAAAAAGTCATCAAAATCAGACTATTATTAGCAAAGATATCAAATCTATAAATATTTTGGTTCAAAACATAAATGAAGTTTTAAATTAATTTTTATTTCCTTTGTTAATTATAGTTACCGAGAAAATAAGAATTGGTTTCTCCATCTTATGATATGTTGCATTATTTTATTTTCTTATTAATTGGTCATTTGATCATAGACCAATATACTGAGCAAATTATTCACACGGACGAACTAGTCTAGTAAAAAAATAAAAGGATTCACTTAAAATTTTGGCAGTAAATAAAAATCCACTTGTGCAAAGCATATCGTATACCGAAAGATTAGTGCACTCCCCTCTTTATACGAGTACCAATCCATTTTTGAATAGACAAAAAAAAGTCCAAGCAGCAAACATCAAATCACTCTGAAAATTACAGAATTAAATCAGTCATAATAAGTAACTGTAAGATACATAGCACACAGCCTTCTATTGCGCGCTTAAGTGGCTGAGTAATGTTTCCTGCATATATTTCTTTATCCATCAAGTATTGGACTATTTTCATTAGTCTCAAACTACTTCATTTATCTTCCATAAATCTAAGAACCACAGAATACAACGAAAATATATTTTTTCATTCAGTGAAATTATCTTTCGATTCTGACTCAAAAATTTTCTCCATTTTTTCTTAAAGAGATAATGGTCAGTCTGTTTTTGAGCAATTTTAAGTTCTTTTTTTTTTTCCATAAGGTAAGGTAGTATTTTACACATTGTTGTTAAATAAATAACAGAAGAAAGCATTTTCATTGTTATTATATAAATAAAAATCTTTATTTTAATAGAAAAATAGTACCTTAGGAATAATACATTAGAAAAAATAAATAAATACATTTTCCGGTTGTAAGGAACAGTAAAACTCAATAATAATATTGATAATAAAACAATTATAAATAATTAAAAATTCAAATAAATAAATTATGGGGAAACACAGTTCTGGTGGATAAAATTAATATATTGGCTCATCTGCTACTCATTAATTATATTCATAAAAATCCTTATAAACAATGGGTAACCATTCGGTTTGATGATGGTGCCATAAAAACAGTTGCTTTTATTCTTTTCTCAACAGAGAAGAATACTCACTCAAAATCTATGTCGATCGGGCATTGCTTTGAGCATTTTATATTCCATTTACATAATAGTCTTTTGATAGGACGTATTTCTTGATGATTTTGAAATTCATTGCCTAAATACCGATTAATTTATTAAATTCACATGTCTATTTCAATCACAGCAACATTAAAACAATCAACTTCTTTCTTAAACTATAATTAAAGTGAAATTACATAAATGTATCAGTAAATAAAAAAATTAAAATATTTGCTAACAAATCAGAACGAAATCCGACTGTTAAACAGAGCTTGCTGTATTCTGCAGGCATTTATTGCAGTCTCATCATCATGTGTGTCACTTCAAATATGCTCTAAAACAGAAATATACTTATCAGTACACCACAAAAATCAGTCAATGAATTGCTAATATTATATTATTATTATAAGACCATAATGATTACAAATTTCCCATTTAAATAGAGCCCTTTACTAGGCAAGCATCTGAATTTAAATTTAAAAGTACCGAGAAGAAAATAATATGTAAAAAACTAACAAAATTAAATTAATCACTTTTTACTTTCACTTACCTATATATGTAATACATATATATATATATATATATATATATATATATATATATATATATATATATTTTTTTTTTTTTTTTTTCTCTGTTGGCATTACAGACCATGTAGATCTTGAGCCGCCTTAACATTCCTGCTCCATCTCTGCCTGTCTTGGGCTATTTCTTTCCATTTATCTGCACACAGCTCTGCTGCATCTTACTTGATTCTATCTATCCATCTGCTTTTTGGCCTTTCACGTGGTCTTTTGCCTTATATTGAGGTATTCATTGATATGCAGAGGCTTCCAGATAGATTGCAACGAGCTATATGCCCCGCCCATCTTAACCTCTGTGCCTTCATACCATGAGATATTGATTGACCAGTTTCTGTAAGCAGTTCTTTATTGGCATTTCTTCTCCATACGTTAGTCCTCTGATCTCAGATCACTCTGGTTATCGTGTGGAGGATTTTCCTCTCAAATCTTTCAACACTTTTTCTAGAGTGCTGGTTAGTGTCCTCACAACCATATGTTAGAACTGACTTTATCATAGCATTGTAAACCATTAGTTTGAAATTTCATAAGATTTTTCGGGATTTCAATACTTTTGAGAGAGAGAAGAAAGCTCTGTTTGCGCTAGTTATACGTTGGTCTATTTCTGCCCGCTGGTCATTCACTGAGATTATTGTGAAGCCGAGGTATTTGAATTTTTCTACTCTTGGGAATGATTATCCTTTTACGCAGATCCTGTTATTGGGGTAGCATTTTTGACTTATTACCATATATTTTGTTTTGTCTTCATTTACTTGTGGGATGATCTGCTCTGCCTCTCTTATCAGTGTTGTAGCGAGTTTCTCAATCTCTTCTTGATTACTTCCAAGGACAGCTATATCATCTGCGTATCCAAGGATTTTATGATTCATTCCGACGTGGACCCCTCCATTTTTCTATGATGTTGCTCTTTGAAGGCTTCAGATACTTCTCCTTGTATTATTACTCTACATTTGGGGTCATTTGTACACGCTTTTGTCAATCTCACCAACTTACCGGGAATTCCCAGTTGTCATTTTTTTTTTTTGGATCCTCCTCTTCTTCGCCTTAAAGGGTATACGGGGTTTCCCCAGGTCAGGGGTTGTGGGAGGGGATTTAAAAGACTTCCCCAGCACCAGGACGCGAACTCATGATTACTTTTTATCACTCAGTCTCATATATCAAGTTGCCTACCAACAGCAGTGCTGTGCACACGCGTTACCCCGTTTAGTCATGATTTTCTAAAGACAGCTCCTGCCCACTGAATCATAGGCTGCTTTGAAATCAACAAATAGGGCATGGACATCCAAAAAGCTACTTCCCATCGGTTTTCCAATACTCGTTTTAGGGTGAAGATATGGTCTAGCATGCTTTCCTCTTTTTCTTAATCCAGTTTGGTGGTCGCCCATTATATTCTCTTAATACGGAGATATCCAGTTTAGTAGGATATTGGTCATCATCTTGTAGGCAACCAGAAGGAGTGCTACGCCTCTGTAATTAGTATACTCATACATGGAGCCTTTCTTTAGGATAGGACAGATTAGGCCCGTATTCCAAGCCTCAGGTATCCTCTGCTCTTAAGTCGTCTCCTCCATCTTTAAACAGTTCAGTTGGTAGGGTAGGTTGTCTATCCCTATAGCTAATTTTATAACCAGTATATCTGGTTTTCAACTGCTTCTGGGTCAAAGTCCTTAGTGTGGTCCATGTCTTGTTCGTTCGTGAGGTCGTCTGGAAATGTTCTTTCAAGATATCCAATATACTTTCTTTAGATGCCATCAGAATGCCATATTTTCCTCACATTTGCATATTTCTCGCTTTATACCCTTTATACCCTTTCTTCCCTAATGTCTGCGTAGAATTTGCGTGTATCACCAGCCTGCTAGTTGTCCTCAATGGATTGCAATCTTTCTTTGAGGAATTCTTTTTTTACCAATCTTATAGTTTTATTAGCCTTTTTCTTGGCAGCTGTGTACTTGTCCTGAGCAACTTGATCAGTTTTAGTTAGGCAGAGGACTTTCATTTTTCTTGTTTCCTCTACTGCCTTTTCGCATGCTTCTATGAACCATATCTTACCCTTTCATTTCTCCTAATTACCGATCACTTCCTTAGCTGTTTCTTTTAGTCCTTTATCTATTTCTTTCCAGTATTGGTCCACCGTGAGGCTATCCGAATCCAAGGGTTCGAATTTATTTTTCAGCTTGTTGTCAAGTTGGAATTTGGTTTTTAATTCAGGATTTTTCAAATTACCTCCTTCTTTAAACTTGTGAATTCGCTTCAATCTCTGACATAGTTTAATTCTAATCAGAGAGTGATCTGAATCACAGTCCGCTCCATGATAGCTTCTTACATCTTGTATTGAGCTCTGATGTCTCTTGTTACAGCACCAGAGTCTCGAGTTCTCTCTCTCTCTCTCTCTCTATATATATAGGTCAGAGACTGGAGTCATGTGGTTTACAAAAACAGATGGAATAAAGAGGTTTTTATTGCCTACTGTTGACATAATAAATAGATTGTTTTTTTATAGTTAATGTTTGCTATAAATTTTATAAGGCTTTGAGATGTTTACAAAAACAGATGTAGTAAAGAGGTTTTTATTGCCTACCGTTGACATAATAAATAGGGTTTTTGTAATAGGTAACATTTGCTATAAATTTTATAATAGTTGAACATTTCCAGAAAACAATTCCTATTCAAAGTAGAGCAGTAAGTGAAAGTTGTGTCTTGCGTGCACCAGATTTTTGAGTATACGATTGGGTGTCATGGAGTGATATTAGATTTGCTATTTTTTTACATCTTACAACAAAACTCAGGAAACACATTAGCAGGTTTGAGACGTAAACATTGAATATTATACTAATGGGATTAGTTTATATATTCCTTACATATTTTGATAATTTTAATATTAAAAACTTAAAATTAAAATTACCCACAATTTAAAATTTACCATCTATATTAAGCTTGCCCCCAATTATTTGGCTTTCCAATTTCTGACAAGTAACTTTCTACAGCCATATCAAGTACTTTGAAGGTGTAATCGCAGCCTTTCATTGCCATTTTAAGTACTGGTTCCAAAAAGTCTAAATGAAATCTTTGAGACATTTCTACCAGGGCGATCTGGGGAAAAGAAAAATATGTAGTACATTTATAATACAGTAATAAAACTTTTTCTTCCTTAATTTCATTTGAGAAATAAATAACAGGAACTGAAAAGAACAATATAAATTTAAATAATTAAAGATAGAGAAGTTTAATTACATACAGATCAAGTTAATATCTTCTATTACCAATGAAGAAATAATTCTTCAAGAAATTAGATGGAGAGAGAATGGGTGAAACAAAACAATTTAACATTAAGGATCATTGATATGTGAAAGAAAACTACTAAGAAAAAATTGTATAAACTAAAATGAAATTTATATTTTGTACAAGTTAAGGAATTTCTTTTGATTCCATATTTTTTTTTCTTACTTTACAGTGTGTGTGTTACTCCATTTTTAATGGTGGGCACACAACCTCATAATCACACTATAAATGGAATTTCAAAAATGGTCGAGGATGTCAAATGTAATCAGAGGAGGCTGAATGGTCTAGTAAGGCCCCAACCACAACTAAAAAAAAGTCTGTTGAATGTATTATTCCTTAATTCGGCAAGCGGAAATCGAAAGCAAAACGTAATTAGAAGCTAATTAAGACCCCAATATTAACTGAAAAGTACTAGGAGTTAGCGGGAGTTGTAAATCACAATCTAAATAGAGGAAAGTTATACTCCTCAACACATTGCCTAAACTTGGCTATTCTCGGAATTCCATATACCATGTGATCATCAGATCTTGTTCCCACTCATTAAAATGAAGCAAAAGTTGTAAAACATTATATTTTTATTTTCACTCAGGCATGAAATTATTAACAATCCATCCCCTAAATGTGACATGAAATTGACATAACGTTATCCACTAAGTTACAATATCAGTATTGATTGAAAATTTATGCACTAAGTACCTGTGAGGACCGGGGTAATACTGCAACTGTCAATGTAGGACCTCCTAAACTTTCTTCCAGATTGCTAATATCAACCATTGGCACATTTCCAGTTCCAAGTGAGGCAGTGCATGCAATAACATACTCTCGTAATGGAATCCCTGCATCAATTAATGCAAGAGTAGCAGCATTTACACTTGCAGCAAAATTCCCACCATCTGATTGAAGTACCTAATCATTATTAAATTTTAATCAACAAAATTCAATTTATAGAAATAATTTAAAAGTAAACGATAACATTTAATTAAAAAATAAAAACCTCTATGAACACATCAATTTGAGACTTCGGCATAAGTTCAGTGCGAATAACTGCAGCTAAAGTTTGATGAAGGTGTATAGTAGCTTCAGTACTTTTTCTATCCCCACGATTTCTTTTTTTTCTTTCAGACATTGAAAATGCAGCCATACTATACTGACAATTGACAAAAGCACCATCCGCAGATGTTTTGGCTCTATGTACATTACGGACCTAAAATAATTTCAACTTTAAATTAATTTAACTTATTAATGCAAGAATAAATTATACAGAAAATTACTAAAATAAGTGATCTGTAACATCACCTCATGAGGACCATAAACAACAGCTATAACTTTCGTGTTGCCTTGTTCAACAAAAGCACTACCATCTGTATGTGTGAAAATCCCTAATTTACACTTTATCAGCCTTAATTCATCTGGCTTTCTCCCATCCAAACGCAATCCTTGATCATTTAATAACTCCATGGTTTTCAATTAGTAATTTAAACCAAGAAATTAATTAAATTTATTTAAGTGAGTTATTAATGTGAAAACTCAAATATCAAATAAACAATCAAAAAATCATTAATTTCTTTGATAAAGCCATTCAAACTTAGCCGGACAGGAAAAACATATAACCACGAGGTAACAAGCCGAGGCAAAGAGCTAATAAGAAACTAAGTTACAGAGATACAAGTTTTTCCTCGATCATTTATCAAATGGTAAGGACCGGTATTCAAAATGATGGGTGATAAATATTCAGGACGCAGTCTTTTTTTTTTTGTTTTAATTTTATTTTTTTATTTATGCCAACGTTTCAACCCAAACATGTGGGTCATCTTCAGGGCGTGGTTTGAGCACTGAGGATGACCCACATGTTTGGGTTGAAACGTTGGCATAAATAAAAATGTTTTTTTTTTTTAAAGAACTGTGTCCTGAATATTTATCACCCATGATACGTAGTACAGTCGACTAACTTCCTTCAGGTATTAAAAATGTTAACTCAGTTGTCTTCCTGAGATCCTTATGACTACCGCAGATCTTGGTCTCTGAGTCAATTGGGTTTGGCCTATCCCTCTTCCCTATGTCTTCCAACTCAGGTCTTTTTGAAGAACGTACTATGTGTGTTGGTCTCCAGTTCCGCTTCTACTGAGAAGGCTTCTCCAATGTTGAATTTCTTATAATGACATGCTTTCATTCTGTTATGACCCATCCTGAGGACAAATATCACAACTTGATCTTTCCTGCTCGCTTCAAATTGGGCATCATCCAGATCATAATGTGAGTGGACATAATGATAACGGAAAGCTTTCTTTGGTGTATAGCTGCTTAATTTATTAAGATCACCTTCTGAAGAGCCTTCGGAATCGATTTCACTTGAAGGGATGCTGCTGGTTCCTTTACAAGTTGATCATCTACTTCAATCCTATGTAAACTACAGCTCTTGGATTTGCATTGGAGCAATTCTTTTTAATATTGGAATTGGAGTTCTCCAAGTTCTGCAGGAGTGTGAAGAAATGACATCCATTTGAGCTTGAAAGACTGTAAAACGATGCCGCCTACAACAAAAATACTATTTTGGAGTCTGAATATCTTTGTTCAGACACATCATAATTCTGCTGTACTCTAAGACAGCTTCCAGTTCACTTTTGAAATTCGTGCTTATGAAATCAGTTAGGATTGCTTCGTCTACTATATTTCGACCCAGGAAGATTTTAAGAGTGTATTCCCGCTTCCCCGTTAGTGGAGCCCATCCATTGGTATACAGGGTGAAAACCTCCTTGCGATCCAGACATATTCCCTTCGTGTCCTTTTAATCCCTCTTTACAAAATTTATCATATACATCCCTTTTCTTCTGACCACTTATAATTTATAAGCTTCAGTTACTGCTTTGAACCTTCCTTCGCTCCAGCTGCTTTATTTTTATCAGGATGATATTTTAATGCCAATTGCCGATATGCTTTATTTATTTCGTCCATGGTGGCAGCTTTGCTGATTCCGAGGATTTTATTGTAATCCTTCCCCCATTGCAGTATCAGTATTTCAATAACATTATGGTAGATCCAAACACTTATAAATCACAGTAAAGGGACTTTTGTATTATAAATTAACAATTACTATTGTATTATTGCTGTAGAATTATTAATTAAAATCACTTAATCATAATTTAAGTTTGATTTTTTGAAATATACCGAGAAAGAAGGGTACGGTGGTTAAATTAAAGAATCACCAAGAGCAGGCTGAGTGCACAGTTATTGAATACAATATAATCTGATTTACTTATAAGGATTTACTAATACTAATACTATTTGATTTCCTTATTACAGCCGATTTACGAAACACAGAAATGTAAATTATTATCCAATAATTATATTGTCTCAGAGGAAGTAGGGCAGAGTGAAAAATAAAATACATAGTTAAACACCAAGTGAAGATAAATTTTACATTTATATGTGTTTTATTGAGCTGTTTTTATAATCATCAACTCATATGAATTTTTTTATTTATTTTTTATTTTTTTATTGATGATATTTACAACTGTATTACAAGTAAAAATACATTCAGTAAATGTGAACAAAAGAATATAATAACATGAAATCACTTGTTGAGAAACTACCCACTGGTAGAACTCTAAAAATGTATTTACAAAAGGAGATCTCGAGGCCATCTTCTTTTCAAACGCCTCGGAGGGCATATGAATTTAAAAACATAATTTAAATCAAATTCAGCGATTCATAAAAAACTGTTGCCTAAACATGCATAAATCCGCAACTGGTACTACCTGAATACCAATTTATGTATCGTTAGTGTTCATTCAATTTGAGAAAGCTGATAATTATATTATTTTTAAAATAATTGATGACACGGAAATAGTAAAATTTTTAAAAATCATAATATTCTATATGTTTAGTTATATTTAAATGTAAGTTGTAGTTTTATTTATTGTTAACAGTTAACTTCAACATTAGTATCATTATATAAATAGGCAAAGGAAAACAGTTCAGTCACTTTTCCTTCTCTGTTTTAAAACCGACTTAATTTTTTCTTTCTGTGTTTAGTAGCTATTGGCATGCTTTATATCATATCATATCATAAATTAAAAAAAAAATGGAATAGTATATGTATATAAAAATGTAAATGTTTGTGTTCAAAACCGCTAATCTCCGAAAGTTCTCCACCTACTTGCGCCATAACGAATTTAATGAGACGTGGCTTAATTCTTCTCCTTGAAACCTTTTTAATTTATGTATACAATATACTTCCTGAATGGGGTTGAAAAAAGTAACGATGGATTCAGGATTTTATTCACTAATATCTCCAAAAGTACTTTTGTACAAAACATTTTTTTTTATTATCAAGCTCTCAAATACGAATTTTGATAGCAATTGAAAAATAAATTCCTCCTCCCTCCCCGCACATTTGGTAGTGTGGATTAAAATGTCTAAAAAAAAAATATTGTTTAAATAAAATATTTTTTAAGTTATCGCTTCCTATTCAACAATAAACGTGAATCACTTAAAACAACCAAATCATAAATTTCCTACTATTCTGCTGGAGTTGGGGCAATTGTTTATGTGATTTTTTTGTAAATCTTTATGTCTATCAACCTCTTAAATATTTCCCTTCACTTACGGGACACTCTGTAAATCGAATACAGTTACAAGCGCATAATTTTCTGATTTCATAAAGGGATTAATTAAGTAATGAAATATATTTTGGCTATAAACCTACGACATATTAATTAATTAATACACAAGAAGACTATTGGTTAATAACTATACTATACATAACATATTAATATATTCATAAATTAAGTGAGGGAACGTATAAGAAGACTTTTGTCACTGGATTAGTAAGTTCCAAGGTGTGGAACAGGTTATAACTGTTCTAAGGTGTGGAACAGGTTGTAGCTGTTCCAAGGTGTGGAATAGTTTGTAACTGCTCCAAACCGAGACTCTGTGACACGTCACTGCTCCACCAATAAGGTCACATCACTAGCTCCTGTGTCGTTCCACTCTCCTAATACTGAATAAAAAGTTTTTACCTATCAATGCGTTAAAAAGGTGGGAATTTTGGAATTTGGCTGACTTTAAGAATGAATTATTTCATTTCATTGATCCACAGATATTTATCCTTTGCCCTATGTAAAAATGTAAGAATCCAACTTTTAATATATAACTTCATCATATGTAGAAATGCATGACTTTTGTCCCCATTCGTCGAACTCTACAATAGACTATGCAGTTACTGACTCCGCTTTCCTAGTATAGACAACTTTTATAAGAAATTTAAAAGTTCTTTTCAACAACTTACTTGAAGGTTTGCGCGCCAATCTTACTTGACGACTTGCTTGAGCGAGTAGAACTGAGCAAATTCTTTACTTTTCTATTCTTAATCGTGCCTTATTGGAATAAATAATCTACTGGAAATTAACAATGTTAAGGACGTTTAACGGTGAATCAAACACTTTTAACATGGTAATAGTCAACTGGAATGTCAATGGTTTAAAAAAAGAAGAAAAAAATGTCAGAGCAGTTTTAAAAAGCAAGCAAATCGACATAGCATGTCTAACTGAGACACACTTAAAAGATAGTGATAATATTATATTTGAAGACTATAATATGTATTGTAAGAACTTTAAGTCTTCTGTGAAAGCGTCAGGAGGGGTAGCTATATTAATTAAATATGGGATTGAACATCAAGTATTGCCTGAACTGTTATGTGAAAATTTGCAAGCAATTTCTGTAAACATATCGCTTACTTCTAGACATATATTCAAAATAGTATCGGCCTACCAAAGACCATATAAACCAAATATAAAACTCTTAGAATCAGATTTTAAGAAGATATTCACAGATTCACCTACCCTATTACTAGGTGATTTAAATGCTTCAAACAAGATTTGGGGCTGTGTAAAGGTGAATACTTATGGCAGGCAACTACAAGCCATACTAGACAACTTAAATCTAACAATATCCGCTCCTCGTGAACCAACTTTTTATCGCAATGTGAAAAAAGATTCCAAAATAACTTTCAGACCTGATATTCTAGATATAGCTCTGATACAAAATATGCCGTTACAACTAACACAAACTCCGCTTAAAGAACTCGATACCAACGATCATGTTCCTGTTTTAATCACAGCTAAATACTTCCCAGGTTCAGATTAATTTAGTTAATTATTTTAGTATTTACTATATCTATCTCGATTGATGAAATAAAAAACGATATACTTATTAAGCCTAGAATGGATTTTGAAAAAAGGTAAATAATAAGTGTAAATTCAGATACACAATACAAGGAAGAGCAATAATATTTCTTTTTTGCAATTTGACATTATTTTTTCTCAAAATTTGCCAGAAAAATATAAATCATATTTAATATTTTACAATTGCGAGTACATTATTTTAATCATAGTCTACAATAATGTAGGGTAAAAAAAAATTACTATTGTTCTTCCTTGAACGTGTATATTAATTTACACTTATTATTTACCTTTTTTCAAAATCCATTCTAGGCTTAATACGTATATCGTTTTTTTTTCATCAATCGAGATAGATATAGTAAATACTAAAATAATTAATTAAATTAATCTGAACCTGGGAAGTATTTAGCTTTGATTAAAACAGGAACTTTTCTGAAGAAAAACAAAAAATTTTTAAGAGTAGAAATGGCAAAAGTTTGCTCACTTCTGTACGTTGAAGTATTTCATGGAGTAAGACTGAGTGCGCAAACCTTAAAAAAAGTATATGCACGATTTTAGTCTATTCCTTTAACTCTGCAACAGACTTCACGATTACTAACTTCAACACTATATTGTAAAAACTTATTCGGAGGGAATGATTGAATATTTATATGTAAAAGTTATTTCACTAATTGTAAGTCATTGGAATAGGACACGATTGATTAAGAATAGAAGTGGAAGAAATTGCCTTAGTTCGACGCACTAATATGTATTGGTTATTGTGTTTAAGTCCATAAAACTCCATTTAAGTTGATTAAAACAACTTTTAAATATTACTATTAAAATTTTTTAATCGTTCCCCTAAAATTAAAAATTTAAATTTTTAATGGTTCCCATTGTTTCTATTCTATATCAAATGTGTCGCGGTTGGAAAGACCTAGAGAAATAATTTTTCAATATGAATATTAGAAATATTCCCGGCACTGAATATTTCTCATAACAGTAAATTGAATCTGAGAGTGTTTGGTTGAACATTTACGATTTGATCTGCATTAGTTGTTGTTCATATAATCTTTAAAATTAACGTTAAAATTACATACTTTTCTCATCGGAGGATGTGGGGAAGTATCCTCCGGTTACTTCGGAGGAATTATCGGAGGTGTTCAAAATATCATTGTCGATGGTTTTTAAATTTTTATATAATAAAAACAAAATAAAATGTTTATTATTTCATAAGAACTTTTATAAAATGAATATCTGTGATTAATAAACGATATACTTTTTAAGTTATTACATATACATATATTATAATTATATTTTGTGATTTATTGTGTTTTGATGGAGGAGAGGGAGTAGATGGGTTCTAAGGAATCGAGATAAGGACTGATGTTTTCAATAGAATCAAGACCTCTCCAGAAACGCCATGTATTGGGAACAAGGATAGGAATAATAACATTGTATGAGATTTCGATAAGATCGTGAGATGAGAGAAAGGAAAGAGAGTTTTGCGAAGAGGATAACAGTTTCTGAGAGGAATGAATGATAAATAAGTCAAGCCAGGTATCAGTGGATCGGGTATGATGGGTAGAATGAAAAGGTACAATAAATAGGTCTAGGGAGAAAAACGGGTCAATAAGGTATGTTCTGTCCGGAGAGATTAAAAGAAACTTGGTGTTGAGATCACCTGCAATATTTTTTATACAGAGGAATTTGATGCGATTTTACAATGTTTTTTTTTTTGTATTACACAGGCAATTGTGACGCACAGAATTGAAGGACAGGTAAGAAATAAGGATTGGAATCTATAGGAGACTGATTTCAGCATTAATCGTTTGCAATAATAGTTGTAGGAACTGCGATCGGCGGGATGTCTGGTTCCTAATGAAATCCCGTCATAATGATCTGGCACGGCGTTATAATGCATCAGATCTGGGAGATGTCGAGGTAAAATATTTTCATCAAGAATTCTGGAGGACTGGATTGGGAGGAGTCAGTCCGGACAGCTTGTTGGATAATACTAGTAAGGTCTAAGGTCATTTTTGTCAGAAAGGATTTGACGAAAAATGTTCCAGCTAACTAGACTTCTAATGAAAAACGGTGGAAAAGGTTTGGGAATGAGAGCCAGTAGAACTTGGAGAGTTAGTAGTGGGCTGTGATCAGAGCCGAGTTTTGGGGTACCCTGAGTCCAAATAACCAAGTCCCGAAAAATGGTCTGTGTGTCTGCCTGTCTATGTTAGCAGCCTAGCTAAAAAACGAAAAGTCGTAATTTAATTGATATCATCTCATCGAATGACATATCGACGAAATCTAATTTAACAGTATTAAAGACGAAAGAATGTATATTTAAGCAGGGGTTCCCAATCATCCCAATTCCCCTCCTTAAAGATGTTAAAGATCTTCTTAAAAACCTTAAAATTAAACTAATGTCTAAGGTCATATAAAATTACACTTGCTAAGGTTTGATCTATATATTCCCTTTGTTTCCTGGTTTGAAACTTCTCAATCAGAAATTTCATTACCCTGTCGAAATGCTCTCCCCTCGTTTATTATTACTTTGTTTGTCAAGAATAGTATTTATTCTTTCCTTATACGGTGAGAATAATATTAAGAACACTGTCGTGCTTAAATTTTTGGACAAAAATAACGTTATTGTTACTTTGTTGTGCATGAATAACGTTTATTCTTAGTTTATTGGGTATGAATAACGTTTATTCTTACCTCATTGAGTGCGAAAGATTAAGAATACCGTTTATTCTTACTTTGATTGTGATTCGTATTTTCTTGTGTGCAAGAACAATTTTCATTCTTGCTATCTTGAATAAGATAAAGAATAGCATATATTTTTACTTTGGTTGGTAATGTTTATTATTTTTTGTTGATTATGCATGACATTTATAGGGTAGGAACAATATTCGGTGAGAATAAGGGGTACCCATTCCCTTCCCCTCCCCTCCCCCAAGGCCGGTGGCACATAAGCCTTCCCTCATCCCTCTCAAGATATTTTATTCCTCTCTTCTTCTTAAAAACATTGCAAACGAAAGTATAATTTGAATATTCGTAGATTACATACCATTACTCATCCTATGGTCTATTCCATAACGTTTTTAGAATAACGTCATTCTTAATACGTTATGCAAGAATAAGAATTTATAATCACCTTCTCCAAAATTAAGTTTGCTGTGATAGCACACAGGCTTTCAAGTAAGAACCTTAAAGGATTCAAACACTTTATTTTGTATCACGACTCGACAATAAGGATCTTTTGTACATGCATTTGTCAATATCAACAACTTCCCTAGAACTTAGTACTTTCAGACTTTTTTGAACCTATTTTAGGATGATGATCTGGTCTAGTGTGCTCCTTGCTTTTCTGAATTCTGCTTGGTGGTAGCCTATTATATTTTACTGGTTTACGCAGCTTTCTAGGATGAACTCTTTTTTGACCAAATCGATCCATTTTCCCTAAAACTAAGTAGTACATACTTTATTTGTAATGATGTAGAGATGGTTGACCGTTGATATGATATGAGAAGGAATTAACGTCGGCAAAAATTAAAATTATTTATATATTTTAATTTTTTAATTTTTTTTTTTTGACCGCACCCTCGACTAATTCCTTCTCATACTTTATTTGTACATTTTGTAGAATTTATATTCCTACGAAATATAGTAAATTTCTATTTATAATGTTATATGTTAACAAAATATCCTACCCAAACTTTAATCAAAAAAATATTTTCATGAATTTATAGGGAGGGGGGAGATATAATCATGTAGTAGATATAATCATATTAGTATTAGTTTATTAAAATATTCAGTTAACATAAATTAAGTGTAATTTAAATAATTTTTAATTTAAATTGAAATGAGGGTTATGGTGAATTTATAAATGATGATATATCACAATGAAACAAATCAATCCGGCTGTGGTTTAACTCCATTTTCTCACCGTGTGGTTCCTCAGCGTTTTCTCTAGGTTAGTCCTCTCGTTGGGAATCCAGTAACATCGAGGTAAATTTTAAGTTATTTATCAATCTGCTTTAGTCATAACGTTTTTAATAAGCATTATTTTGTTTACAAATTGAAGGTATACATCCATTGTGTTATGTTTTCTGCATTCTTTAATTTATTACGTCTTAGCGACTTTAATGTTTGAACTGTTTTTAGTTGTCATTAGAAATGTGGTGCACTCAAATTGTTTTATGACTATTATTATTATTGTTCCCAATGATAATTGTGTAGATTTGGTTTTCAAGTGAGAGATGTTTCATGATTTGTTTCTATTGACAGTATGTTAAGGATGGTTATATGCTAGGAATGGTGTTATAACAATCAAGGCTGTTGTGTGAATTATATTTCTCCCTCTAGAATTTTATTCTCACTACCAATAATTTTACACTACATTCTCCTTATTCTTCAAGTTACCAAAAATTCTGAAACTTCTTTTTATTCCTAGTTAACAATACCTTTGTATCGATAATTAGTGAATCATTGATAAGTTCTCCTATTGAAGGTTTGCTGGTTTTGTTTATATCCAAGTTAGGATGCAAAACGAATCAATGTCATTTATTAGATCTGTTAATTGTTATGTTGTAGTATGTAAATATGCATATATCATTAAATGGGTTTTCTTTTATTTAAAAAATGTTAATTGTCAACATCTGTGAAGTTTGTTGTAGTTCGTAAATTGAGAATGTTTGGTTATTAAAGAGCCATGAAGGGATCAAGTATGTTGTGCAGTACCCTGTGCACAAAGTTAATCACTTTTAATTAAGCTAACCGATGCCTCGATTTTAGTAATGAAGTTTTGTTTTCATGCACACAATTGAAAGTATCTAATAATTAACATTTTATTTTACAGGACAAGGTAATAATTTTAATTTAAAATGGCGCCCAAGGCTCCTAAATATGAAATGGCTGTTGGTCTTAAAAAAGGTCACAGGACAACCAAGATTGTAATGGGAAAGTCCAAAGCTGATAAGAAGCACAAAATTAGACCATCACGCCTGAAAGGTGTAAGTAAATTATTGTATATTAATATTATTCTGATCTAGCTTATACTTATTAATGTTACTAATTTTTTAGAGACAAACCAAGCATACAAAGTTTGTTAGAGATTTGATCAGAGAAGTATGCGGTCATGCACCTTATGAAAAGAGAGGAATGGAGTTGCTCAAGATTTCCAAGGATAAGAGGGCTTTGAAATTTTTGAAGAGAAGGGTAAGTGTATTTAATCAATGTTAAGTAATTAAAGAAATCCCCAGTTGCCTTAGGTTATTATTAGCTGTAGATGTTTCTTTATCAATATTTTTATTTTGCATATTACTTAAATGAGAAGTTAGCTCAAGCTCTATACATTTTGTGTTATTGATTGCTAATAGGGATAATTAGGGATTGCTTTTACTAAAAATAAAGTGGGTACAACTCATTTCTACTATACAGGAAACGCATCGGTTTTCTTTTGTATTACTATAGGTGCTCTGCACAAATCGAGGATTGGCCATGACCATTTCACTGTGATCAAACTGGATTTGAAACCACAAATATTTCCGATAATACCTATAGTTGACATGAACATTCAAGTGGTAGAGTCCTTACATATTTATTAAAAATTTATATTGTAATCGGAGTGGGAAAACATTTAATTCTGAAGAACTTGGAATTTACTTGATTTGATCAATCACAACTGAAGATTACTTACAGTGAACTTTTGTTAAGAATGTTATGTCCTCCTATTTCTCCTTTAGCATCTATGAAAATTGATCATAACTTTCATTATTTATTTTTTGTTAGTTTTTGAATTGAATGGATTAGACATTTTTTTCTAGACCTGAAACTCACTGTTTCAACTGCCTCCCGCAGTGCTACATCCTACACCCTGATGAAGACCGGCAAAGTGGGTCGAAAAAATTAAATAATACTACTTGTTTAATTTAGTATTTATTTGACCGCACCCCCCGATAAACTCCTCATATTATATCAAGGGCAACCTTCTCTACATCATTATTTAATATATTATGATACAAATTAATCTTATTAGCTTATAGCAGACCCTACACAGTAATTCATGAATGAACGTCACAAGAAGTGACAAGATTGCCCGCGATCGCTTTGATCATGAAGACCCTTACACGTTCAATCATTACTTATCGTTGCTGACACCAATTTAGATCAGTTGTAAACAAAGAAACAGCTTAGATATGCTTATTTGGACATTGTTATTTATAATATTGGGCATCAAGAGAAAAACGGAGATAAAATAATTACTTCCTAGTGACTGAAAATCGTTTAGACCAAAGTTAGAAAAATATAAGTCAACTACATACAAAAATTTAGGAAAAGTATTGCAAAAATAATCAATTTGTTAAGAAAACTAGAAAAATTAATGACAAATAAACACAACAGTTGAAGATTTTTTTTCTACTAGTAAATTTTGAAGTTTCCACTTTTTTTTCTCTTAAATTTATTGCCTACTTGACTATTTAAAGAAAAAATAGTTGAAAATGGTTAATAATAATATAGACTAGGGATATAAACAACTATTTACTTTTATGAAATTATTTACTTAATAACGTGACCTAGGTAAACTAACCTATCTAGTAGTAAGGTTAGTCTCATAGAAAATCGTTTTGACAGAAGTTAGTAAAATTTGAGGAAAATGGGAAAAGAACTGATAAATATACACAACGTTAAAGTTTTTTTTTTTCTTAAAGTAAATTGTGAAGTTTCTACATTTTTTTTTTAATTTGTTTCCCACTTGACTATTTAAAAGAAATGGTTTAAAATTTTAAACAAGGGATATGAAAAATTATGTAACTATTTACATATAATGAAAATCAGAAATTTATAATGGTTGTGAGGCCTAGGTAACATAACCTATCCAGTAGTATGGTTAGTCTCCCCACTACTTTTACCTCTCCCCCCTCCACTTCTCGTGAATGAACCTTTGATTTCCGTATGTTCGGAAATCCGCAGCGCACCACCATCAGTACTTCATTCACTATCTTACACGATAATTCGGAACGTCATTAGTGCAATTCCGAATGACCGTGTAGCGTCCGCTTATGACAATGTTACATTATATTCGTTATTATTTAACTTTTAGATAATCAGAAGTTAGCTTATCACTTATAATGGCATATTTTGATTGGACGAACTATCGAGATGTAAATTTAAAAGCATTTCTATAATTGTTTACTGATATGAAAAAAGTTTTCTTTACAATCTATACTTTCAATCATGACCTAAATAAGTTACAGATACAGAGGGGAAATTGTTTAAAGCGAATACAATAAAATTAGTGCAAACAAATTAAGTAGGTTTATGTTAATTTTAGGTTAAAATATTCCTAATAGCAGTTTTCAAGTCATCAAGAAATTAAAACTTCATTTTTTCACTCTTACCTTTGTTAGTGGTCTTTTTGATGATTAAAATGTCAATGATTTTAGTAATAAACTTCAGAAATTAAATTTGAATTTATTAGTTGATTTTAATTATTGTTAATTTATTTTTATTTTTTTTTTGTAGATCGGCACTCACATCCGTGCTAAGAGGAAGAGGGAAGAACTTAGCAACATTCTTACTCAGATGCGTAAGGCACATGCCCAACAAAAATAATTGTTTTACTTTTTAATAAAGTCTTTTAAAAATTTTGTTTAACAATTTTGTTGCCCACCATTTAATGAATTCTTATGTTGTAAGTAAGACCTGTTTTATATATAATGATTATTTTGATGTTATGCCTTGTAGTTTATCTACACATCCATAAAATAATGAGCAATTATAGCTGCATTGAGGTGCAGGTCTCTTCACCTGATTCAGAGGTGTTCAAATTTTGGTTTCTACAAAAGTTTACTTTGTGGTGGTTATATGAAATAATTTTGGCAAAAATTAAAAGGTTAAAAATTATAGTGGTGCATTAATAATCAACTTTGGGAAATCGATATAATTTCTTCAACATAGAAAAGAAGCAGCATAAATATCTTCATTCTTAAAAGAAAAAGTTTTATGAGACAAAAGATTTTTGTAGTAAATTTAATATATGAGGCCTTACATCAATGGCAGACTAAAAAGCTGATTTTCGTTATAAAGCTTCAATTCAAACAAATTGTCAACATTTTTCCATAGTTTAACTTCCGATCATAAGTTAAATTATAAACAAAGAAAAATGTAACTTTTGTTTTTTTTTTTGCAAATGAGTCCTAACCATTAGATTTATTAACTAGATATTATGTCTCAGCTATGAGATCTGAAATCAGTCTTCAATAATATAAAGTAAGACATCTCTGAAGTGGACTCCTATGGGGATTCAAATTTCGTCTGCTAGAGAGAAGAAAAGTAAAATCGTATTTTATAAGATATATAAATTAAATTGTTCATTCATTTAAAGAAGATTAATTTGTAAACACTATCTGTTATGAGAAACAATATATAATCTGTCTATTATACAAAAAGTTTTAGTGACTTACATGTTTTATTTTACTATTAGGATAGTAGATTATTTTATAAATTATACAGCTGTTCATTCAATTACATATGTGTTAAGCTGCTCTTACCACTTCTGTTTCCCTAATTCAAAATAAATATTTTAGACTCTAAATTTAAACAGGAAATTATTTTTGTTTTTATGTTAAAAAATAATACAATCTAAACTACAGTATACATTTAAATTAAAGTTATAAAATTTGAACGAGTTGTACAATTAAATAATCAGTTGTATAATTTGTAAAACGGGGGTTGGTGCGCCATTAGGCGGAAATGGGATACCCCTCTATTATTAATAATTAATGTGCACTTATAAAACGTGAACAACAGATTTCAAATTACTTACATTAGTAATATATAATTTTTGTTTTATAACTATTTTGTTTTCATAATTGTCTGGATTAGATCAGTGCAACTTCTTCACAGTATTTATTCGAAAAGAAAATGTCTTAACCTAATTTGTAATAGACGTGCCTTCATTGGGGGTTTATTATGTTCTAGGTCCTCTAATTCTGAATTGGAAAGTGTAATGTTTTAATGAATTATTATGAATACTTCAATTATTTCTAGGCAAACTAACTTAACTTGTAAGATTCTTAGTGCAAAAATATATTGGCACTTTATATGTTAGGTACAGCCGGATGGGAGAGAGTGAGAGGGTACCTATCCTATACCCAAGATATTTTTTTGCTCATCTTTTTCATACAGAGCAAGGGAAAGTAGAATTAGAAAAATACTAGATCATATATAATTACACTTGCTGCTTCTGTTCTGCGTTTTCTTCTTACTCCTTATTTTGAAACTTTTCATTCAGAAAATTCTTAATCGTAAATTGCGCCATAAAACTCCCTTCTGGGCACTCCTTGTTATACCACTAATATAATTGATAGAAGTGGTGGAGGATTGCCAAAACCAATCATGTTTTTTTTTTTACTCAAGATTACGTATTTTGAAAGAGTTATGCTCTTCCTGAACATTGGTATAATTAAGAAGAAGTCAATAATTTCTTCTAACTGCTTGACTCTATTGTGGCATTCTTGTGCATTATTGGCCATTATCCAAATGCTCAATGTGGTTCTGGTATTTGGTTGTGCTATTATCAGTCTCTCCTAATCAGAAATTTCTTCCTTTTCTTTTAATAAAATTTTGTATAAAACATTTATTTAGATTTTTCAATATTCTTTACAGTAATTAAAAGACAGGCTTCTTGCAGTTACAGAATTGAACTTGCATGATTAATCTGAACATCTGTAAGGAGTAATTAATACATCTATAGAGCCGAGTATTAGAATATAAAATTTCCATCCTTGCATAAGATTAAATATAGATTGTTTATTGTGTATCTATTTTTATACAATTGAAGAATAAAATGTTAAATTTATTTATTGTAAATATTTCTGATTTCCATTTAGACAAATTCAACATTTGGCACATATTAAAGTTGAGTCCAGTGGTAATCTATATCGATGATGATATAAATCAGATATAAGTTATTTGAATTCAGTTTTCTAAGAATCTAAAAATGATACTTATCCAGTAGATTCTTTAATTAATAGACAAAAATAAATTATGCATTTATAAACTTCAAGTATAAAACTGATTAGCTCAACAATTTGTTTTATAGTTATATTATTCTTGAAAAAAGTTTTCAAATAATTTTCTTTCTACGCCAGATAATTAGACGTGTACGTGATAAGTCACCATTATTCAATGTAATATTCTTTAGCATATTTACATATAAAACTAAAGAGGTACAACTTATAAAGTTATCTTGTTAGAAATATTTTGTCTATATTATATGACCAACAACAGTAATACTTGAAGGAGATCATAAAAGGTAATTTATTAACAAAACAACAATAATAATTTATACATCTAAATATATATTGAAAAAATATTAACAATTAATAAATATAACAAAATTAAGTACCATCTAAGTACAACCATGTTAACAAATGTTCAACACTGTAAAAAATAAAACCTATGAAATTTTATAAATTTACTTAAGTCATAAATAGTGATATGTATGATTAAATTTGTAAAGTTTATATTTAATATTAACAATACTTGGCAACAGTTTTTAATATATATCACTTTTACAGGAAAAATATTAATAATTACATCTAAATTATATTTAAAGTACTAAAACATTAAAACTATAAATTAACTAATAGTTCATCTATATGGTGTATTTATTTGCTCAATAAATATATATATGATTTTAATTAATTTATTTGTGAATTATAAAGTATTAAAAAAGTAAAGGTAATCAATTGAACCCAAATATGAATTAAGAAATAGACAATTTTATGAAACCATGTTTTATAAGCAATATTGATAATTTTTCAAGAATTTTATTTTGTAATATTAACATACCATTCCTCTACATCAATATTAGAAAGAAATAGAGCTTAGGAAAATCATTTATATAGATTATGAAACAAAAATGTTAATCTGATTTGTTGCTTCATAGTTGGGTTAAATTAAAAAAAAGAAAAGAAATACATATCTAAATTCCAAAAAATAAATCAACGTCATTTTGAAAAGACAGCTGAAAAACAAACACATAAATTCAAGTAATGAAGATTTTATCTAAATTATAAATAAATAAAAAACTTATAGAGATGCCTATAAAATATAATTAACAGGATATCTAACAAAACATTTTAATGGAACCAGATATCTCTAAGTCATCAAAATAGTTATTATAGGACATGGTGTTATTTAAATCATCAGCTTATTTCTAAAATAATATAAGACAATAAACAATAAAGTTCTGTGAGCCCTTGTAATTAACAGTATCAATAGTTAATCACAAAAAAACAAAAACGATGAACCTACTGTAATGTATTGGACATTTTATATAAACACTAGTTTTTATCACTATAGTGTGGTTATTTTGAAAAATAATAAATTTTTTTAGGTGGCCTAGACACCATGAATTCACTATTTTAGACTCTAGTATAAAATATAACATGAGAAATGAAAACAGAAAAAAGTTAAAATCTATAACATAAGGCATAAATGTTAATTTTTCCTTTCACCTATGTTAAAACAAGTAATTTTTAAATTAAATATCAAAGAGTTGAAAATTGATAATGTTTAACTGTAGAAAATAATTATTACTCATAAAGAAGCTATCACTGAAACAGGCCAATTCTCAACATTGCCTGATAGCTTAATAATCCTAATTTACTGCTATCTTACAATTAGTTATTTAAGAATTACTTGAAATTATGAATTACATAATATGAGGTCCATTAAGTCAAATTCAATTTTTGAAATTTTACAGGTAACAAAAAAAAACAACTGAATTTCTGAAAAAACTATCATTTTTCTGGGAAACTTTGGTATTGTTAAATTGCATGAGCAAATTTCAAAGGCTATTAGAATTTTAAGTTCCTCATAACTTTTTATTTTTAATATCAAATTAATTTGAGTTATAAAAATACTTTATTAAAAGACTTACGTATTCAGATTTTTCTGTATTACTGTATAAATTCACGAATGTATTCGTTTCAAATAACATTAGAATATCACTGGAAAATGTTCATAAATCACAAAAGTCAATCAATACTATATATGATTCTTCACAAGTGGTTGTAATAATCACAATTGGTAATAACATAAGCCTTACTATGGCGTTTTGAGAGGCCAACTATAGAACTTAAGATAATACAATTTTCCATAACATGGAAATTTATTCAGATTTTTTAATCTGACTATAAATGATTATGAAATAAATCTTTTTAGCCATTGACCGAGGGCAAATCAGAGAGGACATAAACAAAAATATATAGTTCGAAAAGAAAAAAAAAATGAAGATTTACCTGGGATTCATTCAGTTCACATCAAAGCTTGAGAATGCAGTCAGTTTAAATTACAAAATAACATTTTTCTTATTTTTTCAAATACAAATTAATTCTCAGGATGTAAATTAATCTATCAATAATAATTGATTGTAAAATTATTTAATAATTATGTGGAAGTCCTATCTTCTATAATAAATCATTAAAATGACACACAATGACAATTTATCAAATAACAGTGAATTTTATTCAAAATTAAAAGTAGTAGTAAATAATTGTTAATTCAAATAAACAGCTTTAATTTTCTATAATTAAATTAGTCTTACATTAAACCAATTAGAATTAATTTAAAAAACAACAACATATTCTAGTTAGGAATTCTAATTTCCTAGAAATTTAGCCTAATTTAAAATTAAAAATGAAGAGGAAGATTATAAAATGTCATATTAACTGTTTATTTCTATAGTTATTCCTTGATTCAAACATCACAGCGAGTTAAAAATCCCTTTTCTGATTCATAAAAATAAGGAATGTATCAACAATATCACAAGACATGATTTGTATTTAAATGGCTAACTCCTAAAATAGTGCATTAGTAATTTAAACGAATATGGAAAAATTTAAAATTCCACTTACATGAAGTCATACACGACAACTACAAATTAAATAATATAATATAAATAAATAGTAGTTTCTAATAATTAATCTCAAATGCAGTAAAACATTAAATAGAAGCACTTAATGAAGAAATAAATTAGTAAATGTACATACTAAAATCATTGAGCAAGTTTATAATTAAAAATGGACAAATATAAGTTGACACAAAGATATTTGGGAATGTAAACAATAATTAAAATTGGCAGTATTCAACAAATAATATATGTCATTTGCTCAACATTGATAATAAAACTTAAAAATGTAACTCCATGAATTCTTAACAACAATAAAGCTAAAAGACCCTGAGGGTTAAATACCTATTAGTTGAGAGAGAAGGGTCATACTCTTATATTTTCTTACAGAAAATCTAAGCAACAATTTTTGATTTTATCCTCCCAATGTGAGGATAGTATCCTACCAGCTTTTTTTAGGAAAATGTTTTTTTTTTTTTTAAATGATGAATAATCTACTTCAAACCTACAAAAAAACAGCATCAACATTAAAAAAGCACCTTAATTTAAATTCTAAAGACAAGTTTTTAACAATCAGTAGAAAAAATGTCAATCGTTTACTAATGATTTACCTAACAATAGTCTTTGGCGTATCTAAGTCTCAGTAGCCTTTTAAATAGCCATGTGGTTAGAAATTAATTTATCTTTCTCCACTATTCACCTTCTAAATACAAAAATATTCTTCTATAGAAAGACAAGATGGTCTAAATGACCTAATTTGTACTATGCTAATCATTTTAAAAATTATTATTTCCATTTCCAAATTGTCATAACATACATTAACAATGGCATGGCTAAATTATCTATTTGATCTGTTTTAGCTTCAACGATTGAAACTAAAGCTATGGCAAAAGTGGGTTTTATTAAGTTTGTTCGAGGAATGTAACCTGTAAAAAAAAAAGAGAGAAAATGAAATAAAGTATATTTTAAATTATTTATACAGTAATAAGCCAATATTATATTCTTACCAAAATGGATCAGTGCAATAACTAAAAACAACTGTGACAGAAAACATGCTGCACTCCCTTCCTTGGTTTTCTTTGATCCTGTGATAATATAAAAACATTAATAAAACTTGTTATTAATTTAAAATGAAAAAAATTGTATGTTGTATTATCAAACATTTTATTAAAATGATAAAAAAATCTGTTACAAGAAATAAATTATTGGATACAGAATGCCTAGTAAAAACAAAATAATGCAAGATAGGCCATCCTATCAAGCCATTGCTGAAAATGGAGGTAAATTTGAGCTTATCTTTGACCATGATCCTGTTATTTAAATTTATATGACATAAAAAGTGGAGAGAAGGAAGGAGTGTGAACTAAATAATATAGATTAATTATCAGGAAACAAACAGGGAATTATATATTAGTTTTCATTTAGGAACGACTGTTTGAATAAATAAAATATCTAAATACCTGGCCACTTATTTTTCCCAACAAGTGATCCACAAGCACTAGCTGCCGTATCACCAATGCCGACAGACAACAAGCCAGATATAAGTGGCAATAATTCTGATCTTTCTGGATCAGGATGAATCCACAGAGGTAGAGAACAACCCAAAAGTAAATAGAGTGGTGTCAACGCTAATGGTCCTTCATCTTTTTCATCAGCAAATTTAATATAGCCAGTTTGCAAAATACTGCCCAAGGGAGGAATTTGCAAAATACGCAGCATCTAAACAAATGAACACATAAATAGAATTAATAACTATAATTTATAATTAATAAGCTGTAAATATAATTTCAATAAGTAGTATAATGAAAACTTACGTCGATTGCAATAAAAATTCCAAAAACAACTCCACTGGCTAAGAAAAGAAAGCAAGGTCTTAAAATAATGCCAGGAGCAAATACCATCACTGTGAGAAGATGAAATGTTTTACGGACAACAGTGCTGGCTTTGTTACCCTTTCTGATTTGGAGATAAATAGTTAGTACTCCAAGCAGGCAGCAAATTGACCAATAAAAAACAAGTATTTGCTGAAAAATTATGCACCTGATAAATACAGATAATTAATTTAAAAAAAAAAATTATTAATATAGATGTTTACATAAAATGATGATTTTATAAATTGTAACATCATTAATAAAAGTTATCAGATAACAAAATAATAACTTTTTATGTTTTTGTATCAAATAGATATTAACAAACTAGTGGTTAAACATGGCGTACTCTTAACCTTCCAAATAAATCAAAACCTCATCAGAAGTTCCATCTGATGATTTGCTGTTATTTCCACTAGATAATAACCTGATAATCTGTCCTTAAACAACTCCTAATTCTGATTGATTCTATTTCTCAAAAAACCAGACAGCTCCTTGCAACCTCCCTTGTTTTCCCCCACTTTTACTATGGTTGTTTGGTGTTTAGAGGGCGGCTGCCTGAAAGAATGGAGGTGAAATTGAAGAGACTTATGAACTGTTTTATAAGATTCATCTTTGGAATTCCCAGATGTTCTCATGTTTTCTGCTGGTATACCGAGTTGAGGTGGCTCTATCCTAACTCCCGAAGACAATTTCTTCTTGGTGTTTCCTTTTCCACCTCCTAAGAACCAAAAATATTCCCTCTATCATGGAACTAATAACTCTACGTTCCTCTATCTACTCTCTTAATACCAGATCTCAACCTATTGATTTATAAATTCCTTTTCATAAAACTACATCCTTCAGCAAAACCTTAGTCATTCCAGCTACCTCTTTCAGGGAATTCTTTACCTATCACCATACGACAATCCTCATCCATAAATTCCTTCAAAAAACTCTTATTCCACCACCTACTTCATTTTCAAAGTTCTGTACCTATGTAATACTTATCGATTTCTGTAATTACAACTGCTCACTAACTATTCACTATAACTACAAGTTCTATTTGGTTTGATTTTTCTTTGTATACATGTAAACCATATAAAATGTAAAACATATTTGCACTAGTATTACTTTGTTTACTATTGTTATTCAAGTTTGATTGCGATAGCAATTGAAATTAACATTCAAATGACCTCTTTTTATTTTGTCAAACCAGATTAATGGACCAATGTTTCGTACCATGTTATTATTATTCTTGGAGGGACTTTAGTCCCAGAATAGAATTATTTGTTCATTTCATTTCATAACCTGACTAACCGATTCTTCACTTTTAATTGGATCAATTGATGGGGTCAACTTATCAATAACTACAATGACCTTAGTATATAGATAATAGAATGTCCATGTAGATTATTTGAACAGTCTGATTTAGTATTAAAAGAGCTGAATAAAAATTTCTAAACTAATATTAATAAGTTGTGTGACCAGTGGAGCTAGACCCAAAATCTGTAGGAACATTAGAAAAATATCCATATTTTTGTCTGATAGATTACAATTTGACTCTCAAAAACTGATATTTTTATTAAAAAAATAATCAAACAAATAAAATTAAAAATCTCATGTACTGAATAACTATTTTGATATTTATTAGAAAATTATCGATACAATAGATAAATTTTTTTAGATTTTGACATCCCTAATATGATGTGACTTTTATGAGAGGATAACTCATATCTCCGACCATATAACATCTTCATGCAACTCTAGGAATACTTAAGGATTTGTTTTTATAACAAATAAAATAGAAACATTTGTTAACTGTCTGGCCTCCAATGACAAAATATCACAAACTTTCAACAGTCCAATTGATGATTGGGACTGTTTTTCGCTATAGAGATGATGCCTAGTTGCATTGCTGAATGAAACAACACATGCAAAGTATTACAAAATTATGTTTGAACGCCTTGACCACTAAGCTCTGGACATTAAAGGTTAGTTCACAATATGATATATTGTGTTCTTTGTCCACGAGCCCAAAGACTTTAGCTTTCCTATGATAAAGAATTAACCCAATTGAAATTAGGCTTGTTTTGACTTACCTAAAAGGCCACTAAAGATTATCCAAAACCACCCACCAGTCTACGATGTCTTTTGGAAATGATAAAATAGATTTATTGCTAACAGCACCTTCCTACAAAAATCTTTAACTTGAATTTTCATAAGAAGAATAATGTTAACCCCTCATAGTGGATAGAAACTGAAAAATGACTTTAAATAAATTGAAACAAGGTCTGAAAATTCAACTTTGGTGATACATACAATTTCTGGTGATAAATTCTCATTGATTACAGATGCTTATGACTTAGTGATGAGTATTAGTACAACATGATAAAATGCTACAGAATCAAGAAAATTTTAGGGGTCTGTATCAACTACTTTGTTTTTCTAGTGAAGTAATAAAAATATGTTATTCTTAGTTTAACTATTGCATCGAAATGTGGATATTACAGTTGTGAATACAATGTAAATGATAGAATAGTGAAGAAAATTGTTGTTTTCATAAGTGAAGAAGAAAAGGCAATTTAATCTAGCCATATCTCAAATAAGTTTGAAATATATTTTGATTGGAGATATGGAATCTTAAAGAGTCAACATCCAGAACTTGATATATTACAATTAATATAAATTAAAAAAAATTAATATTTAATTATAAATACACAAACAAAGTATTTTTTTTCAACATACCAGAATATTATCTTGGATTATTAAAGAAAGAATCCAAGTGAGAGGAGATTCTCCAATTAAAAAATAAAGCGGCAATAATAATATAAAAATCATAGTTAGCAAAACTGAACTGTAAAATTGTGTTGGTTTCCTTTTCCAATTAAAATGATATGCTGCTGCACCAATACCCATAACCCAAAGTATTCCGAACTGAAACAAAATTTATTAATCATGACAATTGTCAAAATATGGGAATATTTTTCAAAATAATCATAATATAACATTTATTTTATTTTAATAAAAGTGTTTTATCATATTGAAAAATTTTTAAAATAAAATTTCAGCTAACCTGTACAATAACAGTAGATTTGTCCAAACAACTAGCGGATCCTAAAGGATTTCGAATAAATGAAGAAAGTAGAAACAGCACAAGACCCTGAGCTGCAACAGTTGCCTCACCATAAGTAAAATTCCTGGGGAACAATTTCATCAATGGAAAAATCGAAGCATGGTAGGCAGATATAGTCGAAATTCCGTATAAAATAGACAGCAACACGCCTAAAAATAAATTATGGAACAATTTTTAAAAATAATTAACCTAGATAAATAATTTGTGAGAAATCTTTTATATCCAGACTACCTATTAAGTATAAATTAAAAAAAATTTCAGATAAATATATTTAATTTTTTCTTTTCAAAAGGTCAATTGAAAATGATCATTTACTGCTTAGCTAATTATCATCTTCGGCTTCTCTTTTCAGGATTTCTTATGTTAAGCAGAAACATCTGCTTTCAGGCCCTTCCTTCAGTAACTCATTCATTCAGTTCTATAAACCCATGTATTCTCACTGATCCAAAACACAAAAGCTCTCTTGTCTGTTCCATTACAAGAAACAAGAAGGCTGATACTTAAATGAAATTTATAGGAGTCACTAGACAGAACTTATGGTTAGACATTAACATCCCAAAGCCAACATTACCACCTTCCTGCTCAATGTGATATTAATTAAAATATAATCCTTCTTACATTTCCTCTCCTTGTTTATACTATAAACGTTCTTTTATTACACACCCCTGGGATATGTTCTTCAGCATGGGGAAATGATAATTGTAATGTTCCAGGAAGTATCTAATTCCTGTTTAAATTTACTTGTTATAAATATAAATAATTTTTAATCTTATTCCACATGAAAACTGAATATCATACAATTTCAAATATAACTTCATAAATATAAATAAAATATATTTTTTCTTTTATTTATTTTTCCAAATTTTATTTATTAATTTTTAATGTAAAATCAGTGAATGATTTGGATTCCAGAGTCCATTTTTTATTTTTAAATAAATAATATGTGTAATAATAATGTAAACAATGATTTTAAGAATCTTCAATTGCTACTCTATTCTTAAGGTCAGCTAGCTCGCTATTTAATACACTAATGCAGAAATCAGGACACTGACAGCATTATTAATTAACAAATATTTTAAGATTGTTATTACAACTTGAAAAGAGGTGTAGTGTTTAAATTAAAATGAGGTGTAGTGTACCTTAAAATTTAATTTTATAGTGAAGTTTTGAAACTTTACTAACAGTGAAGGAAGGTAGTCAAAGTTGATTCTATACTACTAATTTAACAAATAGTCCTGAAATATAAAAACTTTCATTATAATGTAGGTCATGGGGAAATAAGCCACCCACATATAAGGAGGGCAGAAATGAATGAATCATTTAAATGTAGAAACTCGATTGAATTTACGACTTTACATATCATAAAAAGCTTCAATTTCAGTCTAATAAACCTAAAACAACACATGAAAGGTCTTGGTTAGTCGGTAAGAATACAAAGTCTTCAATACAGAGAGGAATGTGATAAAAACATATGATCAACAACTATTGTTCCTCAACCCAATGAAGGGTCAGGTTATAGTTTTACCCAATATAAAACTTAAAATTTAATGAGATATACATTAAAACTTAAAACATATTGAATCAACTATTTACCTTCATTTGATAAGTAGAACAGAAGTATAGCAGATAAGGAACAGGGAATAACTAATGCGGTGACAGAGAAAAAAATATTCTTGTTAACTTGAGCAAGGAATATAACAGTATGGGCAAAAAGGCCACAACTGATACATGCCACAGTTTTATATGTGTGACTAGTATTTTTATTAGTCAACTCCCCAAGTATGATAGATAATGGCAACAAGAAAGTCAACCATACCCCTGGCCCTGCATCTTTCCTAAAGAAAAATAAATTGATCAATAGAAAATACTCTTAATGTTATCAGCACTGAGTAAAATAAATGGTCACCTTGGTATGATGTTGTTATCAGTGAGATATGTCTGGATCTTCTTGCTAACAGAAATAAAAAATAATAAAGCCATTAAAAATATTTGTACGAAAAGGCAGGATAATCCCTTTTGTTGGCCCTGAGCTAAGTTCACATTTTGAAGTGGTTAAAGGCTAACCTAGATTAGGTAAGTGGTCAAGTAATCAGCTGTTATTGAGGTAATGGTGAGTTGACAATTCATGAAGCAGAGTCCAAGGCAAACATTCAAAATGGCGTTAGTGGAAATGTCTATTGCGTTTAATGTCTAGTTTTTATTTTATTTATAGATTATCGGATTCTATTTGAAATGTAACTTGTTTTAAACTAAATATAGTTTGCAATGAACTGTGGAGTTTTCTTTTACATTTTTTTCCGAAGTTGAAGTGGTTATGTTTGTCTTATGTGCAATGAATCTTATTTTATTTTGTCATTAGTGCAATGTTCAGTTAAATTTTAAAGACAGTATCAGTGCATTTATCCGTAACAGCGTAATTTTGATGTTCCACTACCAACTTATTCCAATTATTGAAAATGGATGAGAGGAAAGTGGTTGACTACTTTGTTGTGGCTGGGTTGCCTTCTGATATGCAACCTGTAAATGAGTTCTCAATTGATGGAGCTCATTTAAAATCTACACATAGTCAAGCCCCTATTACTGATATTACAGTTATTTTCCCATCTTTAGGGGAAGGAATACCAGAAGGTTATACTCTTATCCAGTATACCCCTACAGGTAAGAACATTGATTAATTAGTTATCAGTAATTAAATTTGTCCTTTGATATTTTTATGCCTCCATTGTATATATCTTTATCTATGATTCTACTCCTTTCCTATCAAAGGAAAGTGTATATTTCTTATGATAAACTTCATTGTAACCATCCTGTCTTTAAAAATGTTGAATAACACTTTCTTAAATATTGTATACTGTAAATATTTGGTTGTTGACATTATTAACAATAACAATAAGAAGGAATAATGATCATAGTTCGGTTAAAAGTATGAGTAAAGTTTACATAGTGAAAAAAGTGAGGATGTATGATAAAATTAAGACAATCATGAATCATCCATCATAAGTCAGTATGTCAAAGTTTAAATTGGCAACTAAGTTTAACTGATTTGGTTTTATAATTATTGGAAAATTGTGGTTCTATATCAACTTAATTGCCTTTTATAGTAATATAATCTTATTTCTAAATTTTCTAGTTTAAACAACTGTGCCAAGAATAAATCTGTCCCTTAACTTCAAACTTGATAATTTGTGACATGAATTGTTTTTTTTATTGATACAAATGTTCGTATTATTTTTGTCCCTTTCTGCTAATTTAGTCCGTTAAATTAAGGTAATCTTACTCCAATAAAAACCTTATTGTTTTCTGTTAGAGTAGTTTCTATATCTTTATACAATAGATTAGTATTGTGAATCAGAATAGATCGTCTTATGATGAACCTGTTCACTGGCATTAAATCTATATCAATCCTTAGCATACTATCCAGCTTTGTAATAACTATAGCTGTTGGTTTAGCTGCCTTTCATGTGTCCTAAGATAAAATCAATCTAATGGTAATTTAAGGAAAGGAAAGATCGAAATGGGGTAGACTAGAAGGTTAATCATTGTCTTATCAGTATCTGACATTGCCAGAAATAAATTATATAGTTGGGCCATAGTGCTCAACATACTATCAATAATATCAACAATTTGAAAATTCCATCAAAACGGCTCCCATATGTACCATTTGCTTTAAGGAACTGGCAAGTTCTCAAACTCAGTACAAATCCATTGATGGATTTCCGATGCTCTTCATGGATCTCAGCACCAGGTCTAGGACCTTGCCCACAGTTATATCGATGAGTTTAGGAACGGCCTGGAGATTTCTGATGCCCATCAATATTCAGTGCCATGTCTAGGAACTTACCCAACTATATACAGTAAAATGGAGTTGGATAGTTGGTCTCCAGTTATACTTTACAAATTTTCATTCCAATATGGCTGTTGGGCATCGATATCACACTGTAGATCGAAATACAAAAGTAATTTAGCGAGAGAAAGTCGAAATTTAACTGAAGCTAATTATGGCCTACTCCTCATCTGAATAAGACCTGTTGAGGGTTTCATAATCTTTTTTGATCAAGTAAAATTCGTGGTATAATTAAAATTATATTATACTAATGAACATGGTTGTCAATATATGGCCATTTATAGAATTTCTATCTATAGTGTGATCAAAATGATCTTAAACAGCCACAATGTTTAACAACGTAGGGTTTGTAGTTTCATGAATCATTGATTGGATTGGAATAAAGTTTGAAAACAAATCTTACTTTTATTCTCTTATTAGTGTCTCATTTTATGTTTGCTTTTTTTTTGTTTTTTAAATCATGCATAATCTATTGTAAAAATTTAATTGTATCTTAATAATTTATACCCGAAGTTCATATTTATGAAATAGTAAACATGAACTTACATCATTGTAGAAAAATGTTTTTTGTTACAGGTATTTTAGCAGATTTAAATCATGGAAGTTTAAGGAGTCCAGAAGTGTTTTTGTGTTACCGGAGGGGGAGAGATAAACCACCTTTAGTAGATATTGGGTAATATAACAATTTTCCACATCTTGTCTTGAATGATAAGCTATTTTATGGTCTACAGGCAGAGAACTATATTTTTTATAATATCAGAGAAGTGTTATATAGATTAAGCTGGAAATTATCTCTCAATTTCTGCCTGAAAAAATTAGAATGATCAGAAATTTTTTTTTTTATCATCAGAATAAAATCAAAAATAATCATAGATACCGATTGATACATACTTCAAGCTGTTTTGCGACCTTCAAGGCTCAGATCCTGGAAATATGGATTAAAATCTTTCAGTAATGCTGTCCATGAAATTTTATTAGCGTGAAAGATTGGTAACTAGAGAATATTCATGATCAGTACACTCTAGTTGATAATCGCCAACGTGTATAACAATTGGGGCTGTACTTATTATTTTTTACGAATATTTTTATGGAAATATCTTGTTTTATGAGTTTTCAAAATCCACCTTGTACATTCAGTCAAAACCATTGTCGTGTTTGAACCTCATATTCAATTTTCAATTTCATTCACCCATGAAGCTCATTTTTGATGTAATTAATACATCAAAAAGTAGCGGTTGGACCATCTTTGATGTTTGCATTATAGGCAATAAAGTTATAAGAAATGGGACTTCCAGATCACACTTCATCCGAAATAATGTTTCAACGCTGACGGAATAAAAGTTTTCAATGGAGCTAATACCATGGCTATTAATATTGTTTTTATGTGCTTTATTTCATTTTAAAGGTCTAATTTCTAAAAAAAAAAGTCGTATTAAATAAAAAATTCACTGAATGAGGATTGGAAATTACAAAAGACTAGCTCTTATCGGTTGGTTTGCTGTGAAAAGTAATATAACTGGTCTGAAGCAATAAACTGTTTTATTTATTGTTATATTCTTACTAACTGACATAGGTAAAGCATTTAGAGTCATTGAGAGGTGTGATTTGAATCCTAACAAACCATACCAATAATACACCATCTAAGTGTCATAATAGATGATGGTGTGTAGATTTTCTGTATTATATTGTTATCACTTATTATCATAAGTTTTGTTTGTTTCACATATTTACTTTTCCAATATTTAATATAAATGTATTTGGCTAACAATTTTGTGAACATTTATGTAGGGTTATGCATGAAGGCAAGGAGTATATTCTTCCTGATTCTGAAGTTGTGAGAGAAACATTAACTAAAAAATGTGCTAATGTAAATAATTCAGCTGCAAAAACATTCTTGACATATAGAAGGGCCCAGTCTAGTATGCCTTGTAACTCATTAGTTGTTACAGATATAGCTGTGATAATTACTTCAAAAGGAGAAACAGCTCCTCATGCGTTTTGTATGATCAAAAAGAATTTAAACAAGGGATTGGTAAGTACTTAAATAACTAATATTTCGTGATGATAGTATTTTGTTCCAGTTTATTATGAATATTTTATTTAAATTTTTGTCGATAGGTGGGATCTGATGTTTTTTTATGTTATAAAAAGTCTATGAACAGGGCCAATTTAATTACTTATAAGCCAGGTAAATTACTATTAAGATTTATTCATTATTAAACATTTAAAAATTATATATATATTTAATATCTGTTAATTATTTGTTCTTTAGGAATACTCCTAAGGTATCCTTTTGAAGATCATTCAAATTTACCTTTACCTACCACTGTCCCAATGTTCTGTTTACCAATGGGATGTTCATTAGAAAAGTGGCCAGTAACAGCTCAACAACCTCCACCGTTGGTATCTACATTTGTTTTGACTGTATCTGATGCTGCTGAAAAGGTATTCCATAATTATATTTATTACTGATTAAAGATGTAGGTTTTGATAGATTTATCTGGTATAAAAAAATTCTAAGGTTGGCAAAACTGTTCTGGCTCATATATTAATATAAACTCATCATTTATTGAAGATAACAATTTTTTATTTTGTCACTTTAGTTTATGTATTGCTTCCTCACTTACGAAGGTAAGGAAGCATTGTATCCGTGTGAGAGGTTACTAAAAATTGTCTGCTAAGAATCAAAAATTTCCACTCGTGTTTTACGTTTCAGCCATCAAGGATCAAATTTGGTTCGGTGTCTGTCTGTAGTCAAATTGATGTAACGGGCATATCACCTTCTACCGTTTATCCAATTTTCATGAAATTTTCAGGAATTGTGCTGGTTGGTGTCTAGATGGTCCTATATCAATTTTATTAAATTCTAACCAGCACTTTCACTAATGCATTTTTGGAGATATGCCTACATTTCAGAAACGGCTTGTTCGATTTGGCTCAAAATTAGATAAAAAGTAGGTATTTGTAAAAAAAATAATGTAGGGTCAATTTTATTGAATTCTGTCCGTTGCTTTCTCTTATATATATGGAAATGTGTTTTCCTTGGTACGTCTATATCTCTAAAACCGCAAGTTGGATTTGGCTCAAATATGCTCAATACTCCAAAAAAATATTTCCGCTTTCAGATCAGGAAATGTGTTATTTGATGCCTATAGTTTGAAAACGACGCATTCAATTTGACCCAAACTTAGAGAAAATTTTGAAAACAGTGTAGAAATAACTTAGTATCAATTTCATTGAATTCCATTTAATATTTGAAAATAATATAAATAATTGTTAACAATATAATGGCTGTGAAATATTGAAGGCACTGATCATATGGAGTGGGATTTAGGTTATTACAATATTGTTACGGGGTTATAAATTTTTATGTTTTGTTAAAAAAATTAATTGATACTGTATTGTTTGGTTGATTCCAAACGTTACTGGCATGACACTGGCTACTTAGATTCCGTGTAATTTTCACTACATTTAAAGTAATTTTTACTCTGAGTTTGTTAAAAAAAAAAGTCTCATGTATATTAATGTTCATTCCCATTTGAAGTTCAACCAGTTCATCTTGGTCTCGATTTCCTCCTTAAATATCGAAGTTATGCGAACTTCACCCATATTTTTATATTTTATAGCTTAATGCATTTTGTTCTAACTGAAGAAAAGTATTGGTCTCGTTAACTCCGAAGAAACAAGTTGATTTTTTCCTATAGATTTTTAAGTTCCATCCATTTTACGAGTGAAAACATACCTATTAAGTATATATCACTACTATTAGTGCAAAAGGTCATGTGTAAAAATTTTCAACTTTTATTATTCTATTTGTGCTAAAGGGGACATTTTGTAGTCTGTAACCGATATAAGTAGTCTGCTACTATAGAAAATAGCAGAAGACAATAGAAATGAAATTATACTAATGAAGCATAAAGAAATGATGAGTTTTTATTCTCTCTTGTGAAACAATCAATTTTTACATATGACCTTTTGTACTAACAGTAGTGAAATGCATGTTCAGTATGCATTGGTGGTTTTTTTTTTTAAATCAAGAATAATCAAATATGGAATCTTGAATATTAGCTGGTAATGAAATTCGTGAATATCAAACCCGCGAATGTTGAAGGATAACCATATTTCCAAATTGGCTTCTCCCATAGATTTTATTCTCATACGAAAAATTGTATACCTTGTTATATAGGTATATTTTAGCCAATGAAAACTGTGAGGAAGCTATACTGACCTTACTTGGCTGACTTTTTTTTGTTTTATTCAATTATTATTCATTGAATGTTAATAATTTGAAACGCTCAGCAAGATTTGTCATTCTGTTAGGTAAGAGGGCTAAACTTAGAGTATTATTCCTTTTGTGCATTTGTGGGTATTTGTGTTTTTGTTTCCTATAAAATCCTGTCTTTTTTTTTTTTTTATTCATTTATTATAGGAAATTATTAATCATGTGTTCTATGCACATATTAAACTATACTTTTATTCCATTAGAATCCTGTCTCTTGACTGCACTGTACTTGTGAAGTTATCCACCTTTAAATCCTGTTATAACAGATTATAACTGGAACTGCATCTATAGTTCCCTTCCTTACCATTTTGTTTAATGTTTGTTTATTTAATTGAAATAATAATACCTCTTTTTTACTCCTGTTATTATAATTATTTCTAAAAGGATAATTTTTTGTTGGATATTAAAGCTTTATGGATCAGCAGTAACTTTTTATGAACGATATCCTGCTGAGAACTTGACACCAGAGCAGAAACAAGCCTTGGGAGCTTGTGATGATTCAGAAGATCAGTGGACATACAATATAAATAAATGTATCTGTTTATTATCACGATGGCCATTTTTTGACACTTATGAAAAATTTTTGCTGTTTCTACATGAAATATCATGTAGCAATGAACCTCAACCAGTTCCAATCGAAAGGTAACTGACTTTTTCCATTTTCTGTAACAAAATTATTATTTTAAAAAATGTTTGTGGTCTCATATTAATCGGTCTCTTGAATTTTAGATTTATTACATATTTTCTTGAGGATGTCCCGTTTCCATCTCCTCAGCGCCCTCGTATTTTTGTCCAGTTGTCTCTCTCATACCGGGTTATATTAACTCAGCCTGAAGACCTTCCTTTACCCCGCAGGTAAATTTTATAAAATGTATTTTTTCTCTATTATTATAAACCAATTGGTTATAGCATTAAGATTTCATTAATTTTAAATTTCACACAACAATAATTCATTAATCTGGATTTAAAACAATTTATGTTTCCTGCTTTTGGAAACATTGTGTTGGCCGTGTATGTCACAAAAGAGAACTAAATCAATAATAATAATATAATATCTGTTTCTCATTGACAGCTATAATAGTAGAGACATTTTTCTTTTTATTTATTTTATTTTTAAATTAAAGGTTTTTGTTTTGTTTTTATCAATTTGTATTACACATCCGAATTGTTAACACTTGGGAAGGCCATGGTACTCTTTTAAGAACTCCATCCATCCCTAACCATCTTTTATATTTACAGAACTAATTCTGATGATAAATTACAATACTAAAGAGGTCTACCAAACCTGAAAAAGTCAGGGAATTTCTTAAGCAGGAGGACATGAACACAACTTATAACAGCAAAGTTACCAGCAAACACAGCTTTGCTGTTATATCGGAATCATTATTGGTTACAATAAGTTTACTTATCATATGCTATACATACGGGATGGTAATGTACAATCCTCAGAGGCTGGGTATACTCGAAACCTCAATATTTTCTGTTGGAAAAACTCTCTCTTTTCTGTTTTCATGAAATTTTAGTTTGAATGACTTAGTTCTGACTATAGTGTCAAACTAATCAGTCCTGTCAGACTTTTTTTTTCTCTTTGCAGCCGCTTAAGCAGAGTTTAACTGTAAATAAATAATCTGCAGCAATAGTAAGACTCTTAACTGACGTCTGATAGTAGTTCAGTGCCATACTCATGAAGTGTTTTTTATTGTAGTGTTAATTTACAACTACTACATAAGTTATTTAATTTAGACATTCAAAACTTATTCTTAAAAGCTTATGATTAATTTATTGTATTGTGTAAATCTGAATTGTTTTATAGCGGTGCGAGTTTTCGACAGCTTCTAATGAACCTTGGACCAGAAAACTGTTTAGCTATTTTGTTATGTGCATTGACTGAACAAAAAATGCTAGTCCACTCTTTGAGGCCTGATGTTCTGACATCTGTTGCTGAAGCAATATCAACTGTAAGTAACTTTAATTGAGTTAATTTTGTTTGCCTTTATAAACTATTATTACTAATTTTATTTTCCTCTAATTTTTTTTTAGATAATGTTTCCGTTTAAATGGCAATGTCCTTATATACCATTATGTCCCCTTGGCTTGGCTGAAGTTTTGCATGCACCTTTACCATTTTTAATTGGCGTCGATTCTAGATTTTTCGATTTATATGATCCACCAACTGATGTTAGCTGTGTTGATTTGGATACCAATAACATTACACTGTAAGAAATTTAAATAGGTCATTTTTCTTTTATTTAAATATTCAGGGATCTAATAAATTTCTGAAACAGATGTGAAGAAAAGAAAAATTTGAGTACGAAGATACTTCCAAAAAAAGCTTCTCGAGCATTAAAATCTACTTTGGAACTTTTATACAAGAAGTTGTTGTTATTTATTCAGCAAGTTATGAGTAAAGAGGAAGAAACTGTTGCAGATAATGATTCTATCGATAAGGAATTTCAAATAAAAAAGAAAGAAGTTAGTATTTAAATCTTATTTATAGTGTATTTAATTTCAAACTATCTGTATTTTTAATATGTTTCCTGTTTTTTATTAGCAAGCTCTTGAACTGGAAATTCAAGAAGCATTTATTCGTTTTATGGCTAATGTACTGAAAGGTTACCGTAGCTATTTGCTTCCAATTACAAAAGCTCCTACGGTTGGAACAACTGATACGAATTCATTATTTGACTTGCAAGGTATTATTTTTTAAGTATATAGTTTAAGTTATTGTATACATAAGTGGCTTCTATCAAAGATGGGCTTCTGTCATTTTCAAAAAGCGGAGAAAAAGTCAATTTTTGTTTTGTAGATTCAACTCTAAGTGTTTCTGATGATTTTATTTAAGAATGTTCCAGTTGAATCTTGGGAAAAAATCATTGGAATTGGTTTAAATTGAAGCTATGTCCGTCTTTAATATGAGGCCACTCTTATTATTTATTTTTATTAATATCTGTTAAATTTTGAAATATCCTTTTTTAGGTTTTTTAAGATCACGTGATAAAGCACATTTTAAATTTTTTTCTCTCGTTACCAAAACACAAATGTTCATCCGATTTATTGAAGAAAGGTCTTTCGTATCTGATATGGACGCTAGTCTTGCCTTTTTCGACGAATGTACTGAAAAAGTTGACAATGAAGATGAAAGTGTTCATCTGCTGGAGGTTGATGAGTCTCATTATAGTGAGAGAACCGTTTTCATAATGCCTCCAGAAACTACAGGCCAGTTGTATGTCTATGAGGTACTTTCTTGTTTATCTTTCTTATATATATATATATTTTAATTTTACTATAAAAAGAATTTTTTTTTTTTTTATGATGGTACAAGATCATTATAGTTTTTAACATTTATTTGCCTTTTTCTTATAGGGTTTCAATCTCAATCCAAAACTTCTTAGTCATTACGATAAGAAGAATCATATGTTAGATGTAGGTAAATCCAAAGGGCCTGGAGGACGTCTTAGTGGAAGTGGAATAGCTCCTGGAAGCCCAATGGCACGGAGAACTAAGCATGAAATAAAGCTCTCTCAACGGATTGCTCGCCAGTGTTCTGCTTCTCCTAATCTCTGGGCTAAGTGTCTTGTCGGAACTTGTTTTAGGTAAAATAGATAAAATCAGATGTATTTAATTATTTTATACTTATAATACCTAGTTCTGCCATAAATACTGTTACAAAAGTTGAACTTTGTTTACATCCTTAGGTATTATTTTATCTAGATTACTTGACTGACGTTCAAAATTATCTTTAACTAACAAACTAACCCTTTATAAAGTTTTATTTAAACCAATTTGAACTTATGGCATAGAACTGTAGGGTTCTGCTAAAACTTCCAACATTAAAAAAGTTCAGTCCTTTCAGTCAAAAGTGTTGTGAAGGATAGTTGACGCACCGTTTTATGTCACAAATGATACACTACATAAAGACTTAAACGTATCTACAATTTTAGATACTGCAAAAGAGAACTACAATAACTTTCACCAAAGACTGACGTACAACATGAATCCCCTGACAGAAATTCTTCATCGTACAAGAAACCCGTACAGCCCACTACGACGATTACGTAGGCGTTGGCCAAGAGACCTGCTGATCTGATATATATCCCGGACGTAATGAGAAGCTGTGAAGCTGCCAAAAAATTTGCTCATTGCCAAGCAATTTGCAGATTGCAAATTTAATCTAAAGTTCTACATTTTCGTTAATAAATAAGTAAATAAAAGGTATTATTTAGATATCTTTATATGTCAGAATAATAATTTCAATTAGTTTTTGTATTTTTCTTTTGCTCAGTCAACATGGAGTGGAGTGAAAGAGAACACTAATAGCTGTGATTGCCTTACACAAAGTTGGAAAATGTAGGTCAGAGATTTTCAACACTTTAAAACCTTTAGGTTTCAGCCGTATGTTCGAGTACCATACTGTAAATAGATATAATGAGACCCCCCTATCTGTATGTAACAGACCTCAACCAGGCTGTCCCGGCACTTTGAGGACGGCGAATGTAGTGGCTGCTTTAATCAGAAGAAACCCCATTCGAAAACAATAAATCAAGTCTTGGGAAATGGGAATCTCTGTCAGATCACTGTCTCACATAATAAAAAGTGACCTTAGGATGAGTGCATTTTGAAGAATGACAGGACAAAGGCTAACCAGTTCCCTAAAAAAAAATATTAGAGTGGATAGATGTAAAGTGTTCCTTGGTCATTACACCATGGTCTTCATTTAAAGATTTTGATGAGTCTTCATTGATTTAGTGATGAAAACATTTTTACATTTGAAGAAAAACTTAATCACCAAAATGATCGTGTGTACGCACACAACTCTACAGAAGCCGAGGAAGTCATTGGAAGAGTGTAAAGAGGTATCATCTTTCCGCAGTGATGGTTTGCTTTGATGGCATCACAAAGCTCCATTTTTGTGAAAAAGGAGTTGAAGCAGCCGCTTAAATCTATCAGGATGATATTTTGGAACCCATTTTCAAGCCTCTAAATGATACTCTGTTTGCTGGAAGTCATTGGCTTTTCCAGAAGGATTCCACTCCAGTTGACAAGGCCAGGTCAACTCAGCGGTGGCTGCAAATGAACATTCCAGAGTTCATTTCTACCTCAGATTGGCCCTCAGAAAACCCTGATCTCAATCCACTAGATTATCGGCTTTGGTCCGAACTGGAGAGGATGCTACCACAGAGCACACCCATACTTGGAAAACCTCAAACAATCTCTGATCCGAGCAGTTGAGTGCTTTCCTCAAGAAGTGCTGCGTGCTGCTATTGATGACTGGCCAGGGAGATTAAATGCCTGTGTCAAGGCAAAAGGGGGACATTTTGGGTAATTTCTTTTTTTTTTGTTTTACTCCCTATAGCTATACATTTTATTTTTTAATAAAGTTTTCTGTTGAAATCTGTATATATTTTCTTGTAACAATATTTATGACAGGACTAGGTATATCATTATTTATTCCTGAATTAAAACTAAAATTACAATAATATCAATGATATTTCAGTATTTGGTTCATTCATTTACCAAGCTATGTTCTTACTACCCAGAATCCGCCAGCTACATTGCGTTATGCTTATGATTTGCTCGTGAAGATTCATAAGAGTAATATTCTTCCTACAGATGAGGTATGCACAAGTTATGTTTTAAAGTATAAAAGGTTATTATTGTTATTTTCTCTTTCTTAGGAATTGCATGAACCTTTGTTCTACAATTCTGTATGGTTCAGGATTGTTAAGTACATTTAATGTTTTGTCCTTTTAGCCTGAAAATATGCTATATGAATTGCCAAATATGGCCGTTTAATAGTTTAATATTAATTATTCACTAACCTAATTTAATTACTTACTTAGGTTTGTTACCGTGTAATGATGCAACTGTGTGGAGCCTACAGTCAGCCAGTTGTAGCTGTAAAACTACTGTTTCATATGAAACGGGCTGGTCTTCAGCCAAATGCTATAACCTATGGTTTTTATAACAGAGCTGTTTTAGAGGCTACCTGGCCTTCTGGAATGAGTAATTCAAGCCAGCTATTATGGAACAAATTAAGGTAAATGAACTATACAGTCTATCTTGCTTTGCGATTAGGGATATGATTTATTTTTCTGGGTCAAATACAGTTTAATGTTCTAGGAATGTGATTAAAGGAGCAGCATTGTTTAAGAAAGCTGGCATAACTGCTGGAAAAAGGAGGTTGTCAGTGGCAGCTGAAGAGAATTCTACACTTTTTGATCCTGTCGCTAACAGTGGTTCTAGAACATCCATCGACAGTTCCGAAAGTCTATATCAAAAAATAAATGGTAGGATTTGTCATTTACCATATCTTTAGGTAGTTAGTTGATAATCTGTAGTTAGTAATCTTCCAAATAGCTTTGTCAATGCCTATGCTCTCGTCTGTTATTTGCTTAAATAATTTTCTAGACTTTATTAAAAGTTATTTAGTTTATTGTAGTTGTGATTCATTCACCTTTATATTAAAAAAAATATATTAGTATCACTATAAAAACTCTTAGTGAACATTAAGTTCTCAGCTTTACTTCTTTTTTTTTTCCCTGCTGTTTTTATCCACTAGTAGTATGAGAAAAAAATCAATAAAAATATCCATGGCACCAAATTGAAAAAATAAATTTTGCAGACATTTTAAAGGAGGAGGATTCTGTAGGAAATGATGCTTCTTCACGAAGAAATTTAGAGAAGACTGGAGAAGTAATTACTGAGTGTGGTATGTTATGTTCATACTCACTCTTCTTCAGCGAGTTATGCGAATTGCTTTTACTCACTTTTCTATAACTGTATATTGTCTAGAATGTTTGGGATCAGCTTTATTAATGCATGATTACTGATTTTCTCTTTTTTTTTTTTTTTATTTGTGCATGGATACCTTAATTTTTCAGCATTGGTTGTGGCTCCATTTTAGTTTGAATTGCATGAATTCATTTCTTTAATTTTTTTAATAGAAATGAAGATTAACTAATTTTTTTTTAATCAAAGAAAATGTATCTCATCTTAAAATAATAAATAAAAATTATTATTTCTTAATAATAATAACGACTGTTGAAACTTGACGGTTCGATGTTGATGCCACCAATCGTCGTCTGCATAATTTCATCCACTACTGACTGTCATCCAAACCTAGCCCTGCAAGATCAGCAGTTACACAAGCCTTCTACTTTTATTTCGGTCTACCACTCGAACATTTAACATTCCTCTCAGCACATATTAACCTTTTTGGTGATTCACTCACCACAAAGATAAGAATTTTACATGCCCACTTTAATTGCTCCCAAGCTATCATCTCAGTTATATTTCTCTGTTCTAGTTCTCACAATTCAGTATTGTGTAACAATCTAAGTTCACTGGCTAACTCATGCGAATCTCGTTACAGAGTAGGGAATTGTGCCACGAGTGGTACATGTGGATATGATCGGTGAAAACTCCTTGTGATTTCATGTCAACGGACTCACTCATCAACAATGAGAGCTTGATGAAGAGTGCAATATAGGATTGATGCCTTACTCACATATATTTAGTTCACAAAATAACTTCCATATAGGAACACCCATTGCCCAGAGATATACTAGTTCCCCAGACGGTTTTCTCCAATTGGGAAATGACATAAATAAAAAAATTATTTCTTAATCATAATAAATTACTCTTTATTTTCAGTATTGTCAAAATTTTTTTAAAAAATTGTAAATATTTTGAAACTATCGATGTAAACCATAGGTAGGTTGGGAGGGGGCTGCTGTGGCCTCTGTGACGTAGTTGCGGCTTCCAAACGTTTTTACACTATATTTATTAATATAATTGTGAGAACTATAATCAAGTGCTAGAATTATTTAGTATTTAATTATTTAAGTAACAACAATTTGGAAATTGATAGAATTAAGTTTAAGTTGAGTGGATGTATCTGGGTGTGTGTATTCAGTGATAAATGAAAGTAGCAACATTAAAATATAATGGTTCGACATTGTCCATGGTGCAGACCCCTTCTTATAAAATTCTTAACATCCGTCTGAAACTTCATAAACAGCTTTATCTGACCTTAACCTACAAATATGTCATTTGCGAAAATTCTCGTAATTGGGGTATTTTCAATCTGGAGATCAGCAAACTATTTTTATTTAATTAGATACTACAAATTCATGAATACCCATTTGTTTTCCACTTGAATCGTATGATAATATCATGACAAAATAAAAAAATAAAATAAAAAATGTGACCTACAAAAATGTTGGGCTGTTTGGTACACAGGCGGATCTACGGGGGGAGGAGGAGCTTTCGGGCTGAAGCCTTCCTTCCCCCCCAAAATGGTAAAATATAACCATGTTTTACAGAAAAAAAATATTAAAAACTATCTCTTAAATTATTCTTGTTCGTTTAATTACATTTAACAGGACTTCAAGAACCACTTAAACATTATTTCACATAGGTAATTAATTTCTTTCTTTCTTTTTTTCAAATTAATTATTGTTATATGCATATGAAAAAAAAATCTTTCGGGCTAGTGGTTTGGTGTGACATTCACTCCCAAAATGTCAAAATAACGAGGTCATATAGGCCAAACGACCCGATATTTGTGTAGGCCATCTTTTTTTTTTTTTTTTTTTTTCTATTTTGTAATATTGAAAAACCACAGGCCTACCACCCATGATATAAACCAAGATCAACTTATAGATACAGAGTTTCTCAATTCAAATGTGGTCTTAAATATCCTGCTAGCTTTATTAAAGTGGACTAAGCAGTTCAATATTGTATCACAACGATAAATTAAACTTGGCCATTAGGATATTTGACTAGTTGTTTTAAACATTCTATATCGTTAGATGGATAACAGAACCTTTAAACTACATTCACGCAACTTTGATTTATTTAAGCTTTGACACTTCTTTAACAACTATTTGATATGGATGACCTAATCAAGTTTATGTTACAATTTAAATTGTTATTATTTGGTATCAATCTGTTATGGAGCCTCGAAAATTCTTGTCTCTTTTTAGTTAATGAAAACAACTTTTATTATAATTTTTTTAATATTGAGAACCTGAATTGTACTTATTTATGTTATTTCAATTTAGGGACACAAAAAGAGAGGTTTTTTTTATGAAGCAATCTTAATACTTTAATTTATTAAAGTAAATTTAAGCTTGTTTGATTTAATTTTGTTTTGATATCTAGTTATTATTATAATGCCTTATTTAATTTAATTTTTTCAGAAAACAATGTGACTAATTGTGAAGGATTTGCTGTGTTTGACAAGTTTCGTTCCTGCCGAGGCAGTATTGTTAGACCTGCTGTATTACCTCTTCTCAATCCTTCATCTACATTCAAACAACCTCCATGTAATTGTTGTTTTTTTTTAATTTATAACATATTTCTATTTTTATTATTTTATTTACACTTGGGAATATTATCTTCAGGTAGAAATTAAAGATGTAGTAGGTGATACATCTAATATTGTTTTAAATAGAAAATAAATTTATTTATCTTTTTATATTTTTCTTTGTATAAAATTAATTACTTTATATAAAGATTTATCTCCCTCAGACTTATGTTAAGAGGGAGATAAACCTTTGTTCTCCGCTTTCTAAAATATAGTATAGTTATGGTGTAATTATTAGATTATTTATTAATATTTATAACATAAATAATTATTCTACTTAGTCAAAAAAATCTAATAAATTTAACTTTCAATTCTCCACAGACAATCAGAAAATATCTTTCTTAGCTCTTTTAAATTTTGCAAAAGTTTTTGGTTCAATTAGTGATAAGATCGTTCTTTCCAAACTCTTTTTATATCAAATAACATTTGAAATTGTTTCTTCTTTTCTTGTTTCATTCCAAATAAATCTCTTTCCTTCTTCCTTCGACAATCACAATGTGTTCCTCAGGGCTCCTCACTCTTATCGATCCTTATCTCTGTCTACATTAATTATATTCCTGATTCCATTAACCACTCACTTTATTCCTTATATGCTGATGACATCAATATATGACACTATTTCCTACCTACAACAGTATTGCCTGACAAGTCATTTTCCTTCCAAATTCCCTCCCTCTGTCCCTCATACATCTCTGAGCTTCTTTAATTTAAATCCTCTGTTCACTCCTGCAATACCTGTTCCCGGTCTTCAGATTTATATATAATGGCCCACTGAACCGCTGCTTTTGATAGATCTTTTGTTATTCGATACTCATCCTTATGGAACTCCATCCATCGTTACCATGCTCTCCCTACTTTTAAATCCCGCCTATTCAATCATTACCTTTCCAGTCCCTATAAAATTGTAAACAGACATTTCTGTAAATATGTATATATATATATATATATATATATATATATATATATATATATATATATATATATATATATATATATATATATATATATCATTAATTGATTATTATTAATTAATGCAATTATTTTCATTTCATTTTTTTTCTGTTTTCTTAATTGATTTGTTAGAAGATAACTTATATTTTCTATTATATCTATTTTTTTACTTTGTAAATCCATATTTATATCTCTGAGGCTCAAAAGCCCACATTTCTGTCCTTATTTGTTATTCTAAAGGGACTTCTTCCCAGAATAAATAAAATATTATTATTATTATTTCAGAGATGCTAATCTTAGGAATAGGAAGTAAACAATTACTTAAGGCTGAATTTTGTAAAAAATAAATTTAAACGGTTCCTAGCACCTCCTTAGTACCCTCCCTTATTAACTCTTATTTTATACCAATAATCAACCCATTAATTTCCATTCCACTATCAAAGTCCTTTGTGTCATATTTTCGATCAACATCTTTTCTGGAAATATAGATAATCTTTCCTAGATCAAACAAAAATTCATAGCTGTCCTTGCACAATATCTTAAGATGTGCCATTCCATTTCTCGAAATACCTGGCAGGCCTAGTATCCTCACTTGTTTTCATCTACTTTGACTATGGTTGTTTATTGTGCAGAGAGATATAGATGGACTTGGAGGATAAGACTTATAATTTTTTTTTTTTTATAATCACCTTCATGTTTCCCAGGTCCTATCGTGTCTCTTATTGCTATACTGAGTTGAATTGTCTTTATCCTAGTTTCTGACAGAAATACATCCTTTTCTTACATTTCTATTTCCTTAAAACCAAAAAAAAGCTATCTACATTTTTCATCTTTTCGTTCTGTATTCTTTTATCTATTCTCTAAATATTTTAATTTATTAACTTTTATCTTATTTTTCAGTCGAAAGTAGTGCTGGTCTTTTGATAACTGGAGTTGGTGGTCCATTAAAAGAAGAGAACTTAGAGATTGATCAGTTAGATTCACCTGTCGGGGTACCTCCCTTGAACAGGCGCTATTATCGCAGTGGATCTTGTTCTGAATTTACTCATAATCAACTTCGCCATACGCCAACAAGTCCTAAACCACCTTCTAGCAATGATAATAGTTATAAAATGCTTATAAGGTTAGTAAATTTGATTTATTTCTTTTTTTCTGTGTTGGTAATTTATTGATGTACTTATATTTATTTGTTTTTGGTTAGATCTGAAAGTTTTGCGAATGATGCTGGTATATTAGAAAAATTACATTCGCTCAAGAAAGAAATGCCTCCAACTATAAAGTCAGGAGATTCTATGAAACCTAAACTTCCGAAAAGTGTAAGCAAAAATGGCCAGTCCAACCTTTCTAACAGAAGAGGCAGTTTGAATCTTCGGAAGATGAAAGAATTTTCTATGGCCATTTCTGATAGTTGTGAATCGTCAACTGAAAACTTAGGTATGTATATATTTTTTTCTTATTGATTTATTCTGCTAAGGCTTACTATGTTTTTAAAATATATATTTAATGAAATTCAAATATATCCAATATATATGTTGTTAGGTTACGTTTGCTTTGAAAAGTAAAATAAACAGTTTCTGAATCAAATTATATTTATTTCACACAATAATTATTTCTCAGGTTGGGTTGACACACACATTCCTCAAATATATTATACAATAATTTTATATAAAATAATTATGAATCCCCATTCTTTTGTCGGGATCTACTCTTGGCACGCTTTCGAACTGTCACTATTTATATTTCATTCACCCTGTTCTGCAGTGAATCCTCCTTTATATTGTTGTCTTCAACTTCTACAATCTTCTTTCAATTTTCTATTATCCGTTCATTGACACTCACTACTTGTTAGTCACATTTTCTCCTCTCAATCCTCATTTCTAGCCGGCTAGTTACCTTCTCTTTAACATATGGCACTTGCTTCCCCTTCCATCTGTCTTTGTCCATTTTTGACAAAAGTAAAATCACTATGTAGTATTTACATTACAATATATATTTTTGTCTTCTCCTATCTCCTATACCCACTCCGGCCATCCTGCCCTCATATTCACTATATTTAACTGATGTAACCACATAGAAGCAAACAGTAATGTCCCTTCCTCCACTGCTCTGCTGCAGATATGCAGATCTTTTTCCCTCTAATCCTGGGGACAAAAGATGAAACTAAAGTACGAAAAGATTTAAACATATCAACAAAATTAAAATCAACATTTGCCAACATATTGATGTTGGAAATAGAAGAATGATGGTATTGCCTCTTATTTTTAAAAAGTTGATTGCTGATAAACACTAAAGATTTGATGTGATGAATTTTTTTTATTTTTAAGCAAAATTTTCCAATTATAAAGACCGTTGTTATAGCTTTTCAAATGATTGGCAACCTATAAAGTTATGTTTAATATTCTAATAAAATGTTGGCCATTTACGCGACAGTTATAGGAAGTAATTTCGGAAGTATTTTTAAGAGTTATTGTAGGTTATGTTCCTTTCATTAATATGAAATTAATATTTCATCAAGTTATTGGATTCTTTCCCATTAATGAACGACTTTGTACTCTTTGTATCAAAGGAGTGTTTTATAATTACAGCCTTATCAGCTGTCATGCTCCTACCGAAGTATCGAGTGACGAGGAGAAGGAGAACTTCTATCACACATATTAGAAAGAGCTCATGACGCATGTCCTAGGAGTGACACAAAGATCCAGTTGGGGGATTTCAATGCTAAAATCAGGAAGGAACAAATATACATACCAATCATTGGTCTCCATAGGATTCATGAAGAGTGCAATGACAATGGAAAAGAGTTGTAAATTTTGCTGCATCTCGAAACATGATTCCTGGACGACGAATCCGTAAGGTCACATGAAAATCACCTGATGGAATTACATTCAATCAGATAGGCCATCTACTAATTAGTTTGCGACATAGATCTAATCTAATAAGCAATAGAGTATATAGTGATGCAAATGTAGATTCTGACCACTATTTGATCATTGCTCGTATTAGGGCGAGAATCTATGTAAATCAGCTGCACAAAAGAGGTGGAATATAATGAAACTGAAAGAAGCTGATACGCCAAGTAGTGCATGTGCATCCCTTGTCACACAATCCTGCCATTGCAGCTGTGGTCTTCCTACTTTCCTTCCTACTTGTTCATTGCTCTCCATAGTTTTTGGGGGGGAGATTTCATCATTTTGCATCCTCGCCACATGCCCTGCCCATCACAGTCTTGCAAGCTTTATGATTCTTATGATATCCAGCTCCTTGAATAGATTGTAAAGCTCTGTGTTGTGTCCAATCCTCCAATTCTGTTCATCATGCACAGGACCATAGATTCTGCAGAGTACTTTCCGCTCAAATAACGCTAGGGCTCGCTCGTCTCCTTGGGTCATGGTCCAGGCTTCAGAGCTATACATCAGCCTTATCAGAATGAGCCACACGAATGAGCGTTTTATAAAGCTGTGTCTTTGTGCTGCGAGAGATGAGTTTGGTTTTGAAATGCTTATTTAAGCAGAAATAGCCCTTGTTTGCCACTGCTATTCCTCTCTTGATCTCTAGGTTTTCTTTGTTTTCTTTATTTACCAGAGATCCCAGATATGCGAACTCATTAACTCTCTGGAGATTCATCGATAACACATTAAAAAGATGAAATTTAGTTAATGATTGATACACAAGGTTCTACAACTTTTATTGAATGAGTTATTTATCTTAGATAGCTCATTTCACAACTGAATAGTCATTTATATAACAATCTTTTTTTTCCTTTTTTCATCACGAACTGTGTCCTGTAGGACTAGTGGTGGTTTCAATGTGTTCTGCAGGCCAAAAAGTTTGAAAATCCTCCTCTATCTAATATTTTGTTACCTATTATAGGATTTAAAGTATATCTTTTTTTTATATTTAGGCAGTCTTGGAGGAGGTAGTGTTGAAGAAATTAATGGCATAATCACTCCGAAGAGGCATAAAATACTGAATCCTTTCGGTTCCCGCCTACAGAAAACATCAAGTGAAAACGTCAGTATGAAAAATGGGCCTACTAAATTTGGTAGCATGACTCAAGTGAAAAGTGATAGTAATTTGAACCGGTCTCCTGTTAAAAGTCCGAGTAGGACTCCTGTTACCGAAAATGATCCCTTAGGTGCTCTATTAGCTGACGACAACTATCAAGAAGAAACTAACATTAAATGTGAAGTAGTTCGGACAAAGTCTGAAATAGAACTCGATCAGTCCGGCAATCCAGTTCTGTTTGATAGACGGTTAGGGGATTGGGGTTCTTTTGTGCGTAGTGCGACCTTCACTAACCAGGAGGACTCTGAAGAAGAAACTGAACCAAGGACTAAATCTCTTCACAGATCTTCGACCATGCCAGCTGAGAACCCTCCAGTGCAATCAACTTTTACCAACTTTAAGTTACCATTCACGTGAGAGTCTTTTTCTTTTGAAAATAATGCAGCATGTTTTTTTTTTTTAGTTGTGCATGCTTCATTTGATGATATTATTATGATTTTGTAATGATTTTTTTTTTTCTTGCTTGGATTGTCTAAGTTTGTTTATTATTTTCACATAAAAAAGGATATGCAGTTGGTAAAATATTACCTTTTTTTGTCAGTTAAAAAATGAATCGGTAGTTAAACTTTAAATTGCACTTAAATACTAGTTCTCTTTGTAAAATATAAGTAAATGAAAACAAATTATTTTCACCCAGGTTTGTTGTTTTCCAATTGTTTTCTGTTATAATTCATTTCACAACTAATTTTATCTTAATAATGCAAAAACAAGTAATCTGGGAAGCAAAACCAATTGTTTCGTATAACTAGGTAGAGAAATGTCAAGATTGTGGTGATAAGAAAATTTATCTTCTCTGATCGCGTAAGAAAATATTACAGGTTGATTTATTTCTTTGTTTTTAAGCAAGATGTGTGGAGTAATTAATTTTGCAAGCTCTTATTGTTCTTCCATTTTATAGTTGAATTTTCACTGTGGAAGATTCAACTATAAAATGGAAGAACCTGTTTTCACCTATCAAATTACAAATTACTTTTCAGGATAGAATGTTGTATTGTTTTAAAAAATACATCAGAGTATGCAATTTTCCTACTATAATAAAAAATCTTCCCATGAATTTTTGTTTAATCTTAATTTTATACATGTTTCTGAAAAGTAAAAAAAATCTTAGAAGACATTTTATATTGTAAGCAGTTTTCAGTACTTAGCATTTAGAACATTAGTTCAAGTTCTTAAAAAGTGTTAAACTGTGACTAATATCATGGTGAATTTATTGTTACTATTATGGATGTAAGGTTTTCAAACTTCAAAACAGAGGTTTTGCTTGCAAGGTCAATTTTGAAATGGATTGTTGTCTAAATTTTTCCAATGTTTCATAAACAATTAGTGGATGTAGGTCTTTGTAAGAAGGGATCATTAAAAACTGGCTACTTAAATAATTGGTTGTTATGAATACTTGACATCACCAGGTTAAACCAAAGGTGAGAAGAAATATATTTTTTCAATAACCTCCAAATAAAGTAGCCGTAAATTGACTAAAAGGCAGTTATGTATCATCAAAGAGCCCCTCTATCTACTTGGTTATGAATCAAATGAGTTTATGCAAATGGAAGAAATAATTATTAAATATATATCCCTTATCACCTTTATCCACTTAACCTTTCAATAAAATGTTTGTACCAACAATTTCTAACTATCACTGATGGAACTTTTCTTTTAAATTTTATACTTTATAGAATTTATTTTTCATAAACATTATTTACTATTGAAAATGTTAATACAAGTTTCTTTTTTTAATCATAAGTACTGTTCCCAGCCATTGAAATATATTTCAAAAAATTAATTTTTTTATTATTAAATGGTGAATATGATGTTAGTTTAATTGATACAATCATCATTCTTTATTTCTTTTGTTGCTGTCCAATGATTTATGAATGATAATTTCATAAATTTCGAATATTGAACTATATAAAAATGAATTGATTTTAAGGAATATTTACTTAATGCATATCCTTAAATTATAACAATTTTCAATTGTTAAAATTTCGGTTGAGTAGAGCTTGCACAATAACAATAGTGATGTCCACAGCCGATATTCCCCTGGAAGATTTAGTCTTCGCAAAGCCACTGATATTAGGATCAGCACCCAGATGATTGAGAGTGCTATTACAAGTCTCAGGTAGATACATTTTTTTTTTCAATGCCATTTTATTTTTTTATTGATAGTGGTTAGCATTAATCAATTAAGGAATATCAATGATGGTCATTAAATAATTTTATTTATTTCAAACTGCTTTCTTGAATATTGTCTTTATGATGCTTGACCATTGATTAAATGATCAAATAAAATTATTATAAATCGGTTTAGGTGAACAAGGTCACCTTGACCTATCTCAGCCAGTCTACTATATCCTTGAACTAACTAACTTGAACTAAAATTATGATTGATACTGATTTATATTCCTTTCTTGTTCATTTTTTGGTATGTTTATTTTAATGCATGTCATTTTTATAACCTTAACCAATTTGCTACTTAAATAGTTATTATGTATATATATTATTTTTTGTTTGTATTTATTATTTTTTTTTTTGCAATTGAGTTGGAATAGTTATTGATGATTTTTATACATCCATTTTTGCTAGAAGCACCTTTTACTTAATTGTTTGCACAGTAATTATTGCATATTAATTTTAAGATTCTTGGATTCAGTCATATAAGGTAAATTTAATTAGCATTTTAATAATAATAATAAAATGATAGTAATAATAATTATGTAATTATGTTGAGGGAGGATACTTTTCGTTTTCTGGATTGTTTTTGACTACTCCTCTAATTTTTTCTGTCTTATGACAATTTAACAAATGGTTTGACCACAGATGGGGGACCGGCGTGCTCCAGTAGTTTTTGTGCAGTCTTCATTAATTTTTCACTTGAATTAATAAATATTTAATTATTTAGGTTACAAAAAATCTGAAAATATTGGCAGTTTATTGCAAAAAGTCACTAAGTATATTTTTTATGGAGCTGAACTTTGAGGAACGTTTTTTTGAATTATGACTTTATTTATCGATGAAAAAACACAGTAACTGCACTAAAATCACTCGAACCCTTTTATATATCAAATGTAATAATAACAAACACAAGTTTTTGATCCTCCAGGTTTTTGCAATTTTGTTTTCAAATATTTGGATTGAACGTAAAATATTTGCACATTATGGTTTATTTTTCTTATTTCTGAATGATTTTTGGAACTCTTTTCCTGAGCATTTTCCATTTTCTATGTTTTAAAGTTCAATGATTATGGCTTCTGATACTGTTTCAGTTTCTTATAAAAACAATAGTGTTCCAAAAGCTTTTTCGATTAAACTTCATGAATTTCTCATCATGAAGTTTTCAATATTTATTTTAGTGCCCTTCTTTTCAAAACCACAATGATTTAGAAGAATTTTTTATTTAAGATTATTGTCTATTTGTCAATCTAATTTTGTTGTAGTCTGTTTATTTTTAATACTGTGTCATTATTCTTGGATTTTTTTTTTGATCCCATAATACCAAATTTCTTAAGACATTAATATCCATCTAAGAAGATAAAATAACTTAAACTTTAGTGATTATGGTTTTTTTTTGTGCCCACAGTCCCAGCAGTTTAACTTCGAAGAAGTCTAATGAGCTTCTTATGGGTGGCTTAAGCAGTCTCAAATCTGCTGCAAATTCAGTAGCGAAAAAATTTGATGAGATTAAGGAAGCTATATCAGCAAATAGTACTCCAGTTAAAGCTGGCAGCCAGTAAGTTTATCATTTAGTAATTTATGATATCATACATCTAGAATGAAATGAAGCTTCCAACGTTAATAATGCCAACTAAAATCCTTATTTTACTAGTCCAGTTTTATTTTAACCTAATATTAGTGCAATGCTATATGGTAAGGAAGCAGTTGAATTAAAAAAATATATATGTATATCTATATTACTATTAAAAATGATACATTATATATATGTATATAATGAGAACATTTGAAATTTGTGCTTTTTTTTCATTCTGGTTGTGCAAAATATTCAAGTTTCTTATCGAGTTAATCTAAATGAGATTAAAAAACTAAATGAAATTTAGTGAACTATAAATGAAATTTAGCGAGCTGTAAATACGAAAATCATTTAAAGATAAGATTTAACTTACTCTCTTGGCTACAATGAAAGAGTGCCAACTAAGAAGGTAGTCCACATAATCTTTTAAATAAATATATAACTTAGGGTGATAATTTGTACTTTTCATTGTAAGGATGATATATAGTCTCTTTTCAATGTGTGCTAAAAAAAATTCTATTTGTTTTCATTACGCTCAGTTTGTTTTTAACCAAGAGTTAAGATCCATGGAATGAATCTCAACCTTCCCTCTCTAGTTTAATCATACCTCTAGAATTAACATCTATTTCATTTCATTAATTTTATTTAAAATTTGTAGTTTGATATTTAAGTTAACATTATGACTGATTATTTGAAAATTCGAATTTCATAGGAGAAGCACTCTTGAGAGAGATGCCTGCTTGTATGAAGATGAAAGCGAATATGGTGATGAAGTAACAAGTGGTAGGAGAAAAATCTCTTCAGAATTTTCACCTTTGAACATTGGGCAACATCCAGACATCTCCTGGGGAAGTAACATTATGGATTGGTTTAGTGATGGTAGTCGAAAAGGCAGTACAACCAATCTAGGTACACTCCGACTTTATTTATTATGCAGGAACGATTACTTCTTCGCATGTTTATTTTATATGACCTTTTTGGTCATTTTAATTCTTAGATAACCTGATAGCACTTCAAATGTTGGATATTTATTATAAATCGTTCATTTTAATAAATAAAAATATATGATGTTACTTGTTCATCATATATTTCAATTAGGATTGAATCTTATTTTTGGCGAACCCATGTGATAAATGTTGATCTTCAGACTATGGCTAGATTAGATTTGTATCCTTTAGCTGTAAGGTAAATAGCTGTTCCTGCCCTATCTGCAGTAAAAAATGAGATTCAATAATTGATATTTTTATTGATTCTAATTGAATTATTATTTAAATGACAATATCATCTCCAGCACTGCATACTACTCACAAAAATTATGATTTTTATTAAATAAATCAATTTATGGTTTTTTATTTATCAATTTAATTATATATATTTTATTAACTAATCAAGCAAGCTCACAGCTAATGTCTATTATATCAAATTTGCTGGGTGTGCTGCAGAACATGTGCAAATGGCATAAAATGTTAAAATAAAAAAATGCTCAATTATTCTGTTTATCATATCCTAATTTTTAGTCTGTATCACAATATCTGATGATTGATTTTTATACACATTGATTATTTTTTATACACTGCTATTGATTAATTGGTTTAAATAAACATAGTTAGCAGTTAACATCATTAAAACTATATTAAAATCCTCAATGAAAAAAAACAAACATTATTTACATTCATCCTATTTGCCTTTAGATGTTTGAATACTGTTTTGCAACACAAAATAGTTTTCTTTTTCTTTTTTAGTGCACGATGGAAAAGTTTTTATGAAAACAAGCTTATTTTTTTTCTAATAATTATTTATAATCTTAGAATTTAGAACTATAAATGCAGGTTTTTATAGACAAAAAGGTTGTATTCTAAGTTATTTTTTACTCAAAAATAAATTAAAACCTACTTTAAAAATCTGTACCATAAAATTGAATCACTTGTTTTAAATATACCTCAAAACCACTATATAAACAAGAAATAATAAAAATTGACTTAAGTAAATTAATTGCTTTAAAATAATTCAATATTATTTTCACACATTACTTTACTATTTCCTCTACTTCATTTACCCATTCCTTACGGTGAGCTTTTGATCTGCCTTACTTTCAGGTGTATACTACGCTCTGTAGTCGTACAGGTAAGCCTTCCTCATCTAGCGTTTTCAGAAGGATTTAATTTGTAAAAAAAAAAATATACCATTTTTAGGAAAACCCACAAAGAACTGAAAATAAATTCTTTCTACTAATCACACTCTTTAAACAATTTTTTGTAACATTTGTAAACTTGCATTTAACAAAAAATAAAGTAGTTCATGTTAAAAGACAATAATAGTCAAAACTAAATCATTTCGTTTATTGCATAGTTTGTAGCGAAAGTTGGGAAATATGATAACCGTATTGAATGAGTTAAATACGGATCATTATGTATGTAAAACATCATTAAAATCCCCCAAGTCCTTTGGAAGTTATGTTTCAACAAATGTATACGTATACTTATATTATTGTATTTATTTTCAATAAGATAATTTTTTAATTACTCAATTTGAGGATTGTTCTATAAATGGTCAAATGAAAGTAATGCTTCATTTATCAGGCATTTCAGATCTGCAGTATATTACATTGGTTCTGTAAGAATTTAATTAAGTTATGTTTAATTAATGTGACAGAAAAAACCATTTACCATTTGTTCTAAAAACTGCAGGAGGGCAAGATGATAATTGCTGATAATAATTTACCTTAATTATGAAACTATATGGTTGACATTGTTTGATCATTTTTTTTAATGATAAGAATAAATAAAAATAATTTAATAAATTTAGATAAAGACATTATAATACACTATGAATATGTGCATGTACATGTATTATACAAAAGAATCAATGTTAGTATTGTTGAAGCACTGTAAGTTGTCTATTGAAGGATGAGGCATGCTTAATAAAATGTGAAGTTTTTAATGTATTGCATGTCAACAGTATCAATTCTATTAGTTTAAAGTCTATAATTTTTTTTTTTTTTTTTGTAAATAGTCTGAAGTGGCATGGAAGTTTACTTTTCTGACAAAGCTATTTTTATTTATCACATAAGGCATGAATATATATCATTATCATATTCTATTATATTATATATCATTATCAGATAGCCTTTCGTCTTTTATTTATATTATATATTAAGTTGTTAAAAATACCATTTACAGGTGAAAGCGGACCATGGGCCTCTCAGTTATGTATCCATTTGCCAAAACAGCAAAGGGATCCTTCGACCCCAATTGCCCTTCAGGTCACCATGACCACCTGCTCCAAATGCCACAACTGCTCTTGTATTCTCTACGATGAGGAGATAATGGCCGGTTGGATCCCAGAAGATTCGAACCTCAATACGAAGTATTTCTCTTTTAATTTATATATTCCAGTTAGCATTTCTTCTATTATTATTCTTACAATCTGTTTTCTTCTTCAGGTGTCAGTTCTGTGATAAAGCAACAGTGCCATTGCTTTCTGTCACCGTTACAGACTTTAGGAACTCTCCAATGCCATCTGTAGAATCAGAAAGAAAAATATCAACTGTCTCTTTAGGTAGTTGAGTGTTGTTTTTTATTAGATGCTACTTTTCTCAGTTAATCGTAATTATTAATTCCATTTTGAAATAAATTACTACCATATCTGACAAGAGAAGCTAATTTAAATTTGATTTCTACAGGTTCTAACAAAACAAGTTTATTAGAAAATTCTTTTAATGGTTCAAAAGACAAATCAGAACCTCAAACTTGTGAACCGATAACTGTGCCTTATTTGAATCCTCTAGTTCTGAGGAAAGAATTTGAATCCATATTGGCTGCTGAAGGTGATACATGCCTCACTCAGCCAAAGTTTGTCGACGAACATCCAATAATATACTGGAATATGGTAATCTTTTCATAACCTCTTGTTGCTGTTTTAGACACTTATTTTTATTATATTTGTTAGTTGCCAAGTATTGAATATGTTATAGAAAAAAATAAAATAAAATAAAGCAATCCTTTCAATGCATTTTATATATATTTCAGTATTATTTGTTGTGTAGGTTTGGATGTTCACAAGAATTGGAGTTGAATCTCATCTACCAGGTCTTGCTCTAGGAAGTGCCATTGTTTCTGCAACCCCAGATCATTCTTGGGATTCAGCCAATTCATCAAATGTTCTAATCTCAACAATGTGGCATAATGCTCGCCTTCATGATGAGGTTTGTTATATTATTATGGATTGCATTAGGTTTTTTTCCCATTACTTTATTTTATTTTATTGGATTATTTCTTTTTATTTTATCGAGTTTATTTATTTTTAAGGTTGGTCAACCAATGTACATATCCTGGAATGACGACAAGGAACAAAGTTCACTTGTAAGTGCTTTAGTAACCGACAGAACATCAGTTCCGAAAAGGTAAACTGAATCAGTAAATAATTCTTGACAGCTGGGCTACTTGTTTTGATTTTTATTATTTTATCCTATTATTTATTTTTTAAATTTTAATTTCTGTCTATTTATTATGTTTGCAGTGTCATGCAAAAGGTTATATCTTGTCTTCAGTGTTGTAATTTAAGTGAACCTCTTAAATTCTTGGCTGTAGAAAGACAAAAACTGAAAGGCCGTGGACATTCATTATACCGAGAAATATTATTTCTTGGAATTACTGCTCTCGGCAAAGAAAATATTGATCTAGGTAATGTTTGTTTAAATAGTGAATTTTTAATGCTTTGTTATCCTTTTCTTAATTCAGGGTAAGAGCACCAGTGATGGACATAGCCAAGGAAATTTTTGGCTTATGCCCCTGTAATTATTATAGTTGTAAACATCTCCGTTGGACATTTAGAATCTCTAGGATCTCCTTTTTCTTAAAACTTTAAAATTGAAAAAATATTCAGTTATGCAGGTATAATCTCCATTAAAAAAACTACACTTTCTTGCACTAGTGATGGACATCCCTAAATTCAATTGTTCTAGGAATTGATAGAGGGTCGGTACCAGTAATAGTCATACCTTAGAAAAATTCCAAAATCTTTATTTAACTATAAAGATAACATAAATGTTCAACTTAGTCTTAGCAAAATTCATTCATTATTGGCAGATCATTTATAATTTTATTTGTTACAGCTGCATATGATCGTGAATATATAGCAGCTTATGACAAATTACCAGAGAAGGATCCAAAGCTCTACCTTAGATGTGATCAACCACCAACGATTGCATCGATGTTCTGCCGCCAGTACTTTCGATCTTTGGAATTGTGACCCATGACATCGAGTTCATTATTATAGCATACCGTCCAAAACAGTAATTCATCCTCTCACAAGTGCTTTATTAGTTATTAGTTAGTTTTAATTAAGTTATGTGTTGTGACCAAGCCTATATGACTATTTAAATAAGAGACGATTACATTGTGTAATATGAAATTTATATACATGAATTAATGTATATACATATATTTAAAAAACAGAATCAGATAATGTGAATGTTACATTTTATAAATAATGGTTTTGTCAATTAGAAAGGCCATTTAAATGATATACTGTAAATGTGTATATGTATATATTATTATAAATACATATTTTATTTTTTGTTGTTTGTTAACACTACTTATCCTATAATGGTAGTGCATGGGTTCTCGAACTGATGGCTTCATAATTTAGAACTCATGATTCGGCTGTTAGTGTATCTATTGTTGTATTGACCATATCAAGTGTTTATAAAAGAGAATTGTATATTTGTGTATAGTAAGTTGCAATTTAAAAGTTCATTGATATTTATTTTATTTACTTTCCTCTGTTTAGTTTTTAAAAAGTTAAAAGTTAATTATTTTGTTGATAAACTGTTTTATCCTCTAAGTTGTAATTAAAATCAAAATTAAAACGTTTTTATGAAGTGTTAATCTTAAAATTGTAAATATTTTTTCTATTATTGTTTTAAATTGATTTTATTGTTATATATATTTTAGGTTGAAATGCCTTAATTTTGTGATAAAACTGCTCAATTAAGCATCTTAAAAAGAATGAAGCACTACTGTCATAGGAATATAGTTTAATTTTAAAACCAAGTTATGTCCAATAGTTTATTATATTGTTGCTTGTATAATTGTGTAAAATCTATTTTATATTTTGAGCCTAGAAATAAATTATTATTGAAATAGTTGTTCTGTTTTATACTTCACATTTCCATTAGCTTTAGATTAATTTTGTAACTTTTATTTTATTTTTTTATTTTTATAGAATTTTTACTTTTTATAAAGATGAAATATTCATAATCTGTAAAAAAAAATTAATTCTTAACTTTGAGCAGCTTTGAATTACTCTTTTAAAATATATATCAAGCGAGTGCAGCTGAAAAATAATTTTATTGTTTATATGTTGCCTTTAATTAAAATTAATTTTTATTTTTAATTACAAATATACTACTAATCACTTTTTTTTATTAGATAATAATAATACAATCTGCATTGTGCCCCTATACTTGGAGGGCAATAAGTATTAAGGTTAAAATTATTCATTCATACAATATATAATAGAGAAATAACTATAAATAAATAATGAACTTTTTTTATACAGTTGTCATTAGAGGGCATTGTTCTTCAATCTAGAAAAAAATGGAACCTTATTATTTACATTTATAATCCATCACCGGACAGGGACCTAACTGGTGCATTCACCATAAATAAATTAGAAAAATAAGTAAAAATAAAATTAATCTAATTGAACACATTCATACCTATGTACAACATTTATATTTGCCCTGGAAACTCTGGGCCAAGCAAGCTTTATTCTCTGCATGTGGAAGGCAACGCAGAACTCCAGAGGATCCAAGTGCCTCTTTCTCAGCAGTGCACCGATATTGGGAGCCAGTGGAAACTGAAAGGGGGCACTAGAGCCACAGACACTCAGGACAATTAAATTACTTAACTGAATTGTCACTCCACAATGTCTCTTTTAAATAAAATGTTCGACTTAGCAGCATGGTCATCTCCAAACTGGTTTGTTTGAGTGATTCCAGAGTATACAAATTACTATTATATGGATGTAACTGATTGAACTTTAGATTCATTTCTATAATTTTTTGTATGATATAATATTTTTAAACAAGTTATCCTAGTGATGAAGTAACAAACACTGCCGTAGACCTATTGACCTAGATTATTAATTAGTTTTGCTAATTTGTGTTTCCATCAACATTCTGAATTTATTGGGTCAATCTTTTGCTTGGTAACTGCCAAGGGAAGCTTTGTATTCTGAGGTTAAAAAATTGTGTTCCCAATCCATAATGTTGTTCTCTTGTTCTACATTTAAGACATCAAGAACAATATTGGTCTTTCTGCAGTTAAATCTATACCAATATCTGGGACAGGCATATCATCCTCTGCTGTTAATCCGATTTTCAGAAATAATGCGGGTTGTTATCTAGATTATCGTACATCGATTTTAACATACTCCATTCTCTCATTTGGCATATTCAAGCATAAATGTTTTTTTCTCCTACACTAGTCAAAAACTGATTTTTCGATTAAGGTCAAAATTGGAAGATGTGGATCAATGAAAAAATTATAATGTATCAATCGAATTCCATCCAGTCAAGTACTTCTTACATTTGTAAGAACGAATCTTGCTTGATACCCTCCAATCAATAAAACGTGAGCATGCTCGATATAGATCAAAGTTGGAGGTAAATTAAGGATTGGTGTCTGAATTATTGAGTAAGTAACATTTTTATCTAGTTTCACCCACTCTATTCAAAAAATGGTTCCGCTTGAGAATGCGCAATTTACGTATTTTCTTTGACATGCCTGTATTTCAAAAACAGCTTCTTTGATCTGGTCGAAGTTTGGAGGATAATTTACAGATTTTCTAGTATTAATTACCAATTGACGATTGAAATCAATACACTTAATTGTTAAAAATACAATGGCTTTAATTTTATGGCTGTGAGTATATGGAAAGAGACTGTTATATAAGGAAATAAGATTTTAAACTGCACTCGAAGATTTAATTTTAAACATACTTTGCAGTCGAATCCCTGTGACAAGAATGACACATATTCCCATTAATTCGATTTCAAGAAATTTTCAGGGATTCTGAGTTCATGGGAGACCTCCGGAAAACGAAGATAACATTGCAAGTGACAAAAATCCAGAATAGAATAGAATTATGGTAGGCAATATTCAATTTATATCTTAATTAAAAGGGATTTAATGTTGTTTGTTTGATACTACTACTGCGTGACCAAGGTAAACAGAAATGACAAGAAATTTAGGTAGTGCAGAAAGCCAAATTCTAGTTGAAGGCACCTATTCTAATAAAAGGACCTATAAGCTACCAAATTTTAGTGTAAGGACCTAAGAGTCATGTACAGTTCACATCTGCAATGTACGACGATCTCGTCTTTCAAATGTATGATTATTCACAATAAAGAGGACCGAATGGCTGAGAACGTTGAGGCGTGGGTCCCAAAATTCCCGATTCTGAACGTTATGGGTTCGATTCCCACCTGGGTCAGCTACTTTTCATTTCTCGACGGCGAAATGGATCGTGACATTCCACTCTGGTAACAACCAACCAAACCATAATGAGAGTTAAAAAGTAAATTGGGTGTAAGATCAGAAAAAACATTCAAATAGGAAGATTTATTTAATATATGCTGACGTTTCGGATAAGTTTGAGGCCTTCGTCAGGGTAAGTGTGAAGATCTCGTAAGTCACAAAACATCTAATGTTGAGACCTTCACGATTTTCATCATTATGAAGTTTTAAAACTTAGGCAAATATCAGAATATATTAATTGCTTTTTGTTTTTGTTTAATGCACCCTCACCAACTTCTCCTGCAATTAGTTTTATGATCAACCATAACTCCACCACCATACCTAGAGTTGCATTTCTAACTATTTCTAAGTTGTTCCAAAAATTGAAATATATATATTACACTACAATTTCTAAACTGTCAAAGCTTCCTTCCTTGTTGCATGCCTGATATACAACAAATGTGTTGGGTTGAACTGAAGAAACCTAGGATGTATGATTACCTTCTTCACATGCCACAATTCTTTCTGGCTGTCCACCGTTGACCAATCTTGATTCGGCAATTAGATCCATATCTAACATTTAAATTATATATTTCGAAAAGTCTACGGGAAGTTCAATGGAAGAGATTTTGATTATTTTTTTCTCCCTTACCACCTGCCTGGTCATTCTACAACCAAACCTATCCTAACTAGAATAGTAAAGTCTAGATTCATACCATAGGCCCGCCAAAAAATAAATTTCAACCCACCTAGGCTAGATTCGAGCCGGTGTCCCTGGATTCGAGGATGATTAAGCTGTCAAAGCTCACACTTCGCCACCGCGGCCTGAAGTTTTGAGTCAATTTGCATTTATCCTTCACAAAATTAGATAAACTTAGTTTTAGTTTACGAAAGTTAATTAAATTTTATAGTTTCGTAAAAATTCTGAGTTAATTCTGTTAGTTTCTTAAAATTATGAATGACTGAGATGAAAGCTTGATGTTGGGGTATGATCCCTCCCAAGGTCGATAGCGCTTGCTTCACTCCCTTTTCTAGAAGTTTTATTGTTTCCTCTTCTTAAAAACAGCGCCAGCGAAAGTTGATTTAGAAAAAATATAGTTCATATACATACATTTGTTATAATCTGTTGCATATTTTTTCTCTTGAAGCTTCTCTGGTTTGAAAATTCCTCCAAATTAAAAATCCACAAAAACATGGTTCTTCCAAATATTCATAAACTTTTGCCCCCCTCCTAATAAATTCAAAATCAATAAAAATGTATCTTCTTTAATGACTTAGGCTACCTTACACGGTCAATATTATTGAAGCAGTATTGTTGAACCTGGTATAAATATTACAAATGTCAATATAATTTTACAATATATCCCTTAGGCGGTCAATATATTCAATATTAACTCGATGATATTGGTCGTGTAATGGCCCTTTTAGATGGCACAATTTGCAATGGCACACCTGACCTGGTGGTAGAGCATTTAGAGCAACTTTTCGATATGAAGGTAAACTTTATTCCTATTCTTAAACATTTAGCAGTGTTTTGTGTTCGACATTCATTGCCTTATTGTAGCATAATGCATTATTTATTTAGTTTTAAAATATTGTATGCTAATTTCTTAGGAAGCTTCGGTAATTAAAACATTCAGTTTAATGTAAGAATGAAAAACCTAAAAAAGTGACTTTACAAAGATATGGTTGTTTAACTTTATTTCGGTATTTACAACTTTATCTAAAAATTCACACACATACCAAAAATATCATTTTTGAACGTTTTATATTTTAAAAATAAAATTTCTGATGTTAAATATAAGAAATATGGATGCACTTATGCAACATCTTAATAAACTTAAAATCAGTGATCCTAATCAGTTGTGGATTCAGGATTTTATTTTTGAGACAATTTTTTTAATATCGGTAATTATAGGAACGATAATGCTTTTAGGGATAAAATGTTTAAAAAAATTCTTGACAAGCGCTTACATTTAGTAGCTGAGGTAGATATATTATAATTTAAAAAGAGAACATATTGCAATTGTTCAAGTACTTGTCTCAGATCAATCACAGAAACAAAAATAGATTAATGGAAAAAAAAATCTAGAGGAGTCTTCAATCCGAACGTCTTTTTCTCCCTTGAATGAGCTGGTGTCCCTAATTTTCGAATTATTTAAAAAAAAAAAAAGATAATAATGGGATGTGTTAATGATATGAGTGTACGGGTTTTATTGAGGAACTTGTACAATTTTATCTAACGTTGTGAAATATAACCTGGTAATAGATTAAATGATTACCAATTTTATTTGTTATGTTTGATTTAGTTCTATTTTTTTTTCAGGATTTTTTTTTTTGTATACATAGGTATGTAGGAAGAATTTTGATAATAATACTATTTAACAAATCAGAACCTTGATTTTGGAAATTTAATGTTTTTTTATGGCAGATACAATCATGGGCGGATCTACGGAGGGGGGGGGGGAGTTGGGCTGAAGTCCCCCCCCTAAGGATAAAATATAACCATGTTTTATGAAAAAAATTATCTCTCAAAGTATTATTGTTCGTCTAATTACAGTTAATAGGAATAAGAATCACTTAAAGACCATTTTATATAGTTAGTTAGTTTCTTTATT